CTTGTTAATATGGATGTTTTTTGTAGTACTGACCAGGGAGTGGAAGCGGCACCCCCTTCTATTTGTCTGTCATCATCCCCACAGACAAAATAAAGCCTACAGTAGATATGGGGCTTGGGGTGGTGTACATGAATGTCAGGATTTTCTTCTGAGGCTCCCAACTGAAGCCGAGGTATGCTCAGCATGTGATGTGAAATCTGTGTAATTTTTTGAAAGGCATCACATAATCAGAAGGAGTCAAAAGCTTTCTGGCTGTAATTGCCTTTTGGCCACACACAGAATGTACAACACTTTGCAATCTTTCCCTGCAGAGATTTCTAACAAATAAAAACCCAAGAATGAACTCTGTTCTTCGCTGCTGAAATTTGCATTTGTCTCTCTGTATTTACATATCAACCGAGTCACCGTGTTATGGATTTCAAATCACAATTCAGCTAATATCTACCATGAATCATCTTCCTGACTTGGTTTGAAAGTCCAGAATGAAGCCAAGAGGAGAAGTTTTTTTAAGTATCAGAAGTTTTTAAGTATTGAGTGAATTTGATTGGTTCAGTCATGTTTTTTTCAGATTTCACTATCTAAGAGGAGGTTGAAAATGAAATCTTTATGTACTGTACATCTATCCACTTGATGTGGAGCCAGCTGCCATGTTGCGCGAGGAAAACAAGCAATATACTGTCAAAAGATCTGAACCGAGATAAGACATTTTGATTTATAGTCTGATCAGCTCTCTTCTGCGTGAGCTGCACGATACACTATCTCTCACTCCCCTTTAATTATCACATCTTTTTCCTCTCATACAACACACTTTCCTTTTTTTTCACACAACCTTTAATTTTCTTTCTTTCACCTCGTTGCTTCAACTTTTCTTCCTGTACCACGCCCTACTTTCAAAACCCAGTGGATACTCCCATCAGGGGTCTGTTTGAGCCGTATTATCACCCAGCCACTGGAAAGAGCAGAAAGGCAGCATCAACTAAGTCATAAAAAGGAATCAGTGAGCAACATAACATAAAACAAAAGCCCCCCTTTCTCCTCCCAAGACTCGTTTCCTCCCTTGTTTCACAGTTTGGTGGGAAGGGAGGGGAGTGGGAGGGGGAGATAAAATGTGCATCGGTGTGTTGAGTGGCATAATGTGTAGAGTTGATGCTGATTTCCACAGCTTCACTCAACACACTCCTGCTGAGTTAATAATTCTGACCTCTGCTTAATTAAAATAACAGCCCATCCTCCACTGAGGGGAGAAAAAAAAGAAGTTTGAGAATTATTATAACTAATCACTAATTAAGATTTAGCAAAAACAACAAGAAACCTGTCAAATAAGTTGTATCTATTTTTAGATACATATATTCCGAGGAATGAGCAGCTGCGTGTGAACACTCAGTCATAACCAAAGAGAAGTTACAGTACATCTTGAGGGAGCAATGTTACTGCCTCTCTAGTAAACTAAGACGAATCTAGTCAAACTAGTGCACATGATGCTGTACTTCAATTAAAATAACTGTGGTGCAGAAACAAATCCCTTAAAACGACTAACCCGACAAGAAAATAATCACATTTACAAGTGCTTATTTAGGATCTGACAGTAACGCACCCATTTCTGAGGAAAGCGTCATAGCATTGCTTCATTAATTGCTCATTTTGTAGTGTTGCTCTTTTGACCGAGTAAGGTGAACGGGGCCAGAAACACAGTCACAACAAAATGATTGTGCTGTAATAACTGTGTCTTCTCTCTAGTCTTGAATCTTGGCCCCTGCTGCAGTGAGGGCTGTAATTCTGCAGCAAGGAGTGTTAAGAGGATATCATTATCATGTGTTTTCCGAGTAAGCTGCAGATTTGGTTAAATATAGTAGTTTTTTTTTTTTTTTTTGTTTCCTTTCCTTTTCAGTTTTGCATTAAAGCTGGGTCAAGCCGACCCCTCCCATGGCAATTCTTTTCAAACGGAGCTGCCAAAGCGCCTCCTCTGCCACAAATGTAGCCAATATCGATGCCATGCTCAAAAACTGATTGAAAAGAGACTTACATGTTTCAAAGCATGCTGGGAGCTGGGGGCCAGGCGAAAGCCCAAAGTATTAAAGCTGAGATAGTCACCAGTATGCTATAAAAAGGCAACATATGCCCACAAGTCCAACAGTGCACCAATCAGTCCATGTTGTGATTATGAAAACATTTTTTACTATTTTTTGTTGTACTTTTATTTTGTAAAAATCTCTGTCTTATTTGGGTGGATTAAGGGCAAAACATACACATATTCTTCTATTTTTTTTTTTAATTTTGAAAATACTGAAATAACGAGCTACAAAACTGAATAAAAGATACAGTAGCTTAAGGTCAGTTGCAATTAATTTTATAAAGGAATATAATTTTTTCTTTTGATTGAAACATTCACATTTTACTTATGATCTGATTTAATAGTCTGTGTCATTCCTTTTACTTCCTCCACAACCTCACAGGTAATTAGGTCGCTGAAAACATTTGTGATCACTTTTATCTCTATTTCAAATAAAGCTGATTTTCAAGGACACAGCAGAGTGGTAAAAGAGTAAAAGACATGACACTACTGACTAAGTCTATTACTGAAAGTATGATTTCATGAAGTCCATTTTATTCTGATGTTCATAGATTCTGAAAGTATCAACAGCAGATTTTTGAAAAGAGATTTTTAATTAGTCTGCACGAAAGAGTAAGAAGTGTCTTGATTTTTTCAGCTGATATCCGTAGTTTATCAGAAGATGATAAAGAAGAAAACCCCCCATTCATTCAAATCCCCAAAGAGTCCCATTGTTATCTCAATATACTGTTCGTCTAAATCTGAAAGCATAATAGAAATTCTGTGGTGAAGTGTGGAGCTGCGCACTACGTTTGCATATTTATTCAGCTGTCATATCTATCTGAGCAGATCATCAGAGGAGATAAACTAAAGAGATGAGGGAATAATGGCTCTTGCTGAGAGGCTGCCGAATGATACAAGCATATTCCTGAAAAACACCAGGAACTGGGTAAACAAAAATGTACTCTACAAAGCCATGCAATTCAAAATGAGCTGTGGTTAATGATGGTGATGATGGTGATGCTAATGATGATGAAGATGCTGTGAATAAAACTGGAATGATGGAAAGTTTTAAGGAGTAACAATGCAAACAGAGCAATGTTGCAAACTTTTTCTCTGTTTCTGAAGTAAGAGAAAACGTGGACTTTTGGGGAGGAAGCAGAATTCCTAAACATGACACTGAACATGCATTATTTACCCACTTATTGTCCTCTTTTATGTTCAACAGAGATAAACGCTGACCTGCCTGCATAAAGCGAGCATTGTTAGAATGTATTCTTACATGGATGCAATGAGAGTGGGTAAAAGATGCTTTAAACACTGGGCCAACCTTTTGTGGAAAATGTTCCTGAAAAGAACACAGCCTCTGACATTTCATGAAAGAAGCCTCTAAGGTCATGCTGTTGATACCTCTTGTGAAAAACCAAATTAAACACTATCAGGGCGGCGAGGAGACACACAGAAAGCATTCCCTTTGATTTACACTAGATACATGCAAATATCACTTAAACAGGATGTACTGTATGTGGTACTTGTTGGAAACAGTGACCTTTTATTTCATCGCTGCAACGCTTAATAGATGTTCATCTACAAGTGAGGGTATCACGCAGGCCCTTGTGTCATCTATCCCTCAATGTATATGTACACCAACCCCGATGAGGACAGTATAGGATAGTTAATTGAACAATATCCAGAAAGCGACAAGAGGACAGCGAGGAGAAACTCTGCTCAATGGTGCCATCTAGTGCCTCTTCAGGGCAACCCGAGGCGAGCTCTACAGTACAGTAAGAGCTTGTCCCCTGCTGCTGCTGCTGCTGCTGAGAAAGTTTGGATAACAATTATCTGTTGTATTTGCATTAATGTGATTGCTTTGTCTGCAGACTCATCTGACTGCAATTATAAAGAGTAGCATTAAAACACTAATTAATTAACTCAATTGTGGTTAGATTGATTAATTCTAAACAAACATGAGATCGCAGCAAGCAAATGAGCTCTGGAGTGCTGATGCATCTGGGAGTGCTGCTGCAGAAGACATTTTGATTATCTGCAGACACATGTAGTTGCAAATCTTTTAATTAACACAAATAGATAGTGAGAGTGAGTCGGTTGTGCAACTATCCTGCTTGTTACTTGTAATCATAATTTGGTCAGTTTTTAAAAGAATTTGGGTGTGAATGTGGACTGTGGGTTTGAGACAGTGATCGAGAGGCAGCTCAATTATTCCAAAGTTGTGTTGGCAATGTGTGTGGGTGTGTGCATGTAAGTATAAGGGCGTGTGTGAGTGTACAGAGTGTGTGTGCGTGTGTGTTTGTGTTTGTGCATGCGCATAGCAAAATGGGTCTTGACATCAAACGTCATCACACAAAAAGAGATAATCAAATTATGATCAAAACAAAACAGATGGTCACATAAATCATCCATTCACATGTTGGACTGGTGCCTCTGTTGCAGAACAATGAATCACTGCCTATCAATGCTAGGATCAAAACATAAGTGCTGTTATGAATACAAAAAGCTCTTCATTGTATTATTACATCCCAGCACATATCGCAGTGTGGTTCAGCACCATCTCAGACATTTTGGTAAACTATTTTATATGAAAGATCTACAAAAATCTGAAAGTGAATTATTGAAAAAATTGAGTGGATCATGACAAAATGCTGAGTCAGATATATTGGAGTTTTTCCATTTAGATGACTTTTTCATTTGTTTTAGTTTTAATGATCTCCCCTCATCAGAGATTTGTCCCAGATTAAAGATTTCAGTGACAAATATTCCATTTTTCAGCGTAAATGCATGCATGCACCTTCCGTATCCATACAAATCCTGAACTCCTGGACTAGATTTAAAAGGGAGCAGTCAGTCAAAGCTCCCTTTCTCAGTGTGCTGTCAGCATCTGCACATGCAGAAAAGCCTAATCAGAGAGATACCAGTAAAGTGCATGTAATACTTTAGAGATTTAATGCAGTTTTTAATTGGATAGAGGGCCATTATTTTTCAATACAGAAGGGGCACTGAGGCACATAAAGCTCTTGAATATTTTTGCAAATCGTGTTCAACAGCATAATGATTAACCATGGCACTAAATTTGCCTCACAAAATGAAAAGCAAACTTCATGCAAGGCGTAATTTAATTGTTTCCCTTCACATTTTCTGCCTCCCATTGTTGGAAGCTTAACATTTTTAGAGTCTGCTTAACAGCTGCCTTGTGATGCTTGAGCTGCAACAATGTGACTGACAAATGTTTTGAAGTAGCTGCAGACTTCCTAGTGTCTTCGTGGACCAAGTGTCAGGGAATCCTTACATCTCTTTATGTCACTTTTGAAGCCTTATTACATGGATATTTATTTTTCTAATGTAAGAAAGCAAATTACCACTAAATACGTCATTCAGTTGATGCCATATATAACACTGTAATGTATCTACTATTTCAGATATTGGTTAACATAATACTCTCTGAAGCCATTCAAGTATTCCATAAATATGAGAGATGTAATAATTACACATATATTCCAAAAAAAACATACATGTATTTTGTTTTGATAACAAATAATCATATTAGATCATACACAAATATTATTATGATCATTATGTTTCTATACCAACATATTATGTACCAGTAGTTATGTTGAGTGTTTTCATTTTGTACAATAAAATATTTCAGCAGTCAGAACTGCAGGTCACATTTCCATTTCAACCTGAGGAGAACACTGCCATCTGGGCTACAATTAGTGGTAATGCAATCCTGAGCTGTTCGTTTATGTGCATGAATATTCAGAACCAGAATCAGGACCAGAATAAAGGTACTGTCGGGCACATTCTGTACTGCTAAAACAAACATACAGAAGGATTTAGAAATATGTATATAATAAAATTAACTAACAGTTAAAACACACAAGAAGGTATAAAAATAATGATGGACAATAAATATCTGTAGACGAGTGCATATTGATCCAAAGAACATTAGAAAATGACTGTATACATTTTGAGTGATACAACAAATTAAATATAGAGGTGGCTGCATATGTAGTTATTGCACACGGTACAAACGGTATATGTATAGATATAGCCTGCATTGTGAATGACAGTGGCGTAACATCTGTGATGTGTAGAGATATTAGTATGGGTATACGTATCTAAAATAAACTGCATAGTAATTACTGGTTATTGTTCAGAAACTGTAGGACCAAATTCACATGGATGAATAAATTACTCAGTGTCTTGTTCCCTGTGGAATTATTGTTCCTGTGTCTGCCTGTTTTGTAGTGTAGTCCCTTGTAGCAAATGCCAGAGACGATCAAATAAGTTGTGAACTGGGTAGGAGGGGTCTGTGCTGCATTTCCCTGCCAGTTTTCTGACTCGACAGATGTACAAGTCCAGGACCTACCTCCCTACCTGTCCTTTTAGGTGCTGGTCATAACAAGAGTGTGGTTGATATGTGATTGGTGATTGGTGGTGAACATTATCAATCACTCCTGGTTGAACTTCTGCTGCTGGGCCTTTTTATGACCACTTGAAACCAGAAGCCTTAGTTCAAACCAACTCTATTGTGCCAGGTGTGGATGGTGACGGAGGGCAGGGCAGTCTATTGAAGTCCACTATCTCCACAGTTTTGAGCATGTTCAGATCCAGGTTGTTGTGATTGGACCAGCAGGCCAGTTGTTGGATATCCATCTTGGATGAGGCCAGTTAGCTTTGCTTCAGGAGTTTGACAGAGGTCCCTAGAGGTGTAGTTGTTGGTGTAAAGGGAGGGGAGCACTAGTGCTGACTCAGGATGCTGAATGAAGGTTCCTCCTTCACCTGCTTCTTCCTTTCTGTCAGGAAGTTGGTGATCAGTTAACAGGTGTTAGCTGGAGTTTAAACTAAGTAAGCTTGTTTGCATGGATTGTTATTGGTTGTACAACAAGTTGGGAGCATGCGCATAGGTTGGTAAAACAACAAGTTCTCATTCCAAGGCATCAAATATGTACAAAATACAAAATATCATGGTTTTGGTTAGGTTTAGGAAGAGCTCGTGTGCGATGCACAAGAACCCATAAAAATTGGAGCATTGAACACTTAATTTCCTGCATTCTGAAGACATTTTCTGCTCCAATTTATGGTGGAAATGTCTTTATTTATAAGGACACAAAACCAAAAATTCAGCTGGCAGGTGACAATCATAAATATAAAATATAACAATATAATGCGGTCATCAGCAGCAATCTTTGGAAAATATACATTGGTGTCTTCTATATTTAAACTGCATGGCATGTTTTCTTTTTGTACAAATAAACATTTCTTGGTGCAAGCTATTTTTCAGAACATTTTTACAAATGCTTTCAAAAAGTGATGGGGACGAAATCAGCCATTTCAAAATGTGGTGGGGACATGTCCCCAGCGTCCCCAGTGTAGATAACACCTATGTGTTTTGTGTTGAAATAAGTACATTATGTGACATAACTCAGTTATGTTACATTATGTAGCTAAAAACTGGTATGGTAGGTGGATTTACCTGAAAGCCAATGGCATATCATATGGATGCTGAAGGGTACTGTAAAGTGCAAGTATTTTACACCCTGGTGTGAGAATGGGCTGCTTAAAACCTACAGTAATGCAGGTCATCTGTTTTTCCAAGCACCTCCACTTAGCCACTTTGGTTTCCTACGGTATGTCCCTTGCCTGCTTGCCTCTGTACATTTTTTCTTTAATCCAGTCAGATAAAAGTGAAATACAGAGTAAAAACAGAATGCCTTTTTGTTTTTGCACAAGAAAAGCAAGTCTGACAAGATTAGATTGAACTGAATTCTAATTAGATAAGAGATGAAAAAGAAGAAACAAGGAATTATTTCATTCCCTAGAAAGTCCTCCTCTGGTTCACCAAATGAAAATAATTAAACCAGCTATATAAATGACTAAATGACATATTTACAATCTGTTCCTTTTCAGATCTGTTGTGTGTGACGTTTAGCACAAATACAGTAAACAAGCCTCTTTCTGCCTGAGCAGAGAGCACTGATAATCTGCCTGAGTATTATCTTATGTCACTTTTTGTGTCTGCTATGCCCTTCTTATGCCAGAGTTTTACCATGGTAACACTCAGAGCTGTGCTCACTGAATTTGAATGCAGACGAAAAACTGACATCTATGTTGGTTTGTAGTACTGGTAGAGGAAATAAAATGATAACAACAGCCTTCCTCTAAACCCAGCAGAATGGCAACTTTCCTCATTCAGCAACACAGAGACTTTTGAGGAGATGCCATTGCTGCCTCATTGGTTTTTCACTCCCTCTGATTACTCCTCTCATCTTATGTAAATCCTCTTAAGTCACATGTTATTGTTTATTGCAACTGTGAAGGTTAGGTGTTCCTAAGCCCTGTGCGTGTGCTTATCTCACCAGCGCATGCATCTTTCTCTCTCCAATGTGTCTTGTTTTCGTAATACACTAATGGATGAGAAAAGTTGTCTGGACTGATGCGGTACAGACAACCAATCCACTGCAGTAAAATGCTAATCTCTCCCAGTGGCTAACAACTCTTCATGAAGAGAGGCAGTTGCATGCTCCAGGGATATCACAGCATTATCAGAAGCCTGCTGTATTTTTTTTTTTTTATATACAGTAAATATAAACAATTCCTAAACACACAATCCCCTTTTTTGACCAGTCAGCATCCCTGCCTCTGTAGTCATGTTTGAATTTTGGCACTGAATCAGTGATTGTGGTCACATGTTTTCTGAATGACAACCTATCCAAGATTCTCCCCAAGCAGAATGTCTTAGAATATGTGAGACATGTACTGTACCACAGCAGTATGGATTTATAGCCATTTTTAATGGAACAGAGCCAATATTAATGTTATTTGTTTTACCTGTGTCTTTCCTCTTGTCAAAATGTCTACTGTAAAAAGGTCGTAGGAAAAGAAACTTTTTTTTTTTTTGGAACCTCAGTGACATCCCTGGTTTCCATTAATTCCATGGTCTCTGCACTGCGTATTGCTGGAGGAGATTAGGGCCAAACATTTACTTAAGTACAGATTACAGGTTACTGTCTTTAGGGACCTTTATTTGGATCAGCTTTCACTGAGCATGACATGTAATGACTTTAGATAGCAGTTAAAGTGAAAAAGAGACTATGGACAGAACACATTCATAGGTTAAAGGTTAAAAGGATATTATTCTCAATTGCATACCATACAATGGCTTTATCTGGTCTACATTCTACATATTGACTTCCACAATAGTTAGGGAAAATATTGTGTCAGCTCTTGTCCACTTACTGATCAGGTACAGTAACATGCTGTGCGGTCAGTTTTGACCGCTTTTGGCTTTTGAATGTTGATACTGATACCAGTAGTATTTCAGTGCTGCAACTTCCAAAAGCTTCTATCTTAAAACTGTTCCATGCTTATACAGTATTAGAGGACAGTATTATTATAACACTTGCAATGGACTGGCAACCTGTCCAGGGTGTACCCCGCCTTTCGCCCGATACACAGGATAAGCGATTGACGATGGATGGATGGATTATTTCCTAACAGGAGAGCTAGCAGCTGTTTAAATAGGTATTTCAGTTAAATTTGACATTCAAAACACTTCTGACCTCATCTCATCTTCATTTCAACCTTTAACAGCTGACATGACAGATTAAAGTTACAAACAGGGCTGAATATGAGCATACAATTACTGACAGTTTCTCTGTGAGTGTATTTGTTCATCTCATCTGTCTGAAATATTTAATAGCAAGATATTGGCCTACACTGAAAGGATGTATACAATATTTACTCCTACAGAATGAAACAACATTGACCTGTTAAGTCAATGACAACAACAGTTTGTGTGTAAAGAAACAGAACATACTTGTAATGACAGACCTTCCAAAAATACAGCAAGTGGTGTAAATTTGTAATTCAGTGTCTTGAACATTTACAGACATAATCTCTTTCTAGTGTGTACAGAGTGGATGGAACAGGGAGGCCAATGAAAGACAACTATGTGGGGTGGATAGTATCAATAATCATGACCTCCAGTACCTCAAACGCAAAAGATTGGTCAGACCTCTGCAGTCTGTCCAATCTCTGACATTAATCCTACAAATTCCATAGACTTTCACCAAACTCACAGTTCTCTGCTCATACAGAACCATTATGCATGCTTCTGCTTTCTCACCAGATAGCTGGCTCCTCTGATAAAAGCGCAGCCGTTTAGGTTCTGTCTTGGAATGAAGTAGTCAAATTTATTCAAAACGGCGTTATAGTCTTTTTTGTGTTCTTCCTCTTCAAACTAAAAATGAGCTGGATATGTTTTCAGCTTTGTTTCCCATAGCGCAAATGAGCAAGCAGGCCTGGACATTTATAAAACTGTACGCAGGATTCACATCAAAAGGTTGCATATGGACAAAACATAGAAAGTGCTTATGCACAAATTATTCCGATTTATAACACAAGCATGTCCCATGGCGATTTCCCTGTATAAATCACAATCAACTTGAAATTTGGCACATATGAGCTTCTTGTCCCATCCTTTTAACGCCTCAGTTGCCTATGAATAGTCAGTGAAATGGCCCTAATGAATATTAATACATACTGACTGCATAAAGACAACAGTGGCAAATTCTGACAGAAAAGCGAAAAAAAAATATTTCACCCAGTGTAAAATTGGAATTTTTGTTGGAGTTGTTAAAGCAAGAAAGAGAATGTTATTAATGGTGATCACAGTATGGACCTTAGAAATGCCAAAAAGGTGTTAGAGTGTCAGCATGTGGCGCAGAGCATGCTGCTGCCTCTGAAGAGCGGACCATCTGAAATATAAAAAATAAGTGGTCCAACATAAAATGGCCATGTAGATGCAATCCTATAAACACAAAGAGACTCAATTGACCCAATTAACATATCACAGCATGCGAGTATTAATTACAGATCAAAATAAATATAATTCCTGATTAAACTGTACAACATATTTGAAGTGTTCTTTTGCAAAAAACAATATCTCCTTTTGTGTTTATTATCCTACTTTACTGTTCTTTTTGTGTGCACTCCAGGGAGTATCAACCAGGTGATTGTTGATTCATTTTAGAATGGCTTTTATCTGTTTTTGCAAATTAACTCTTTGTAGAATCAGAGATGCTCAAAAGTCTTTGAGCTAGAGTCCAAGTCAAGTCTCAAGTCTTTGAGCTAGAGTCCAAGTCAAGTCTCAAGTCTCTCGTGGTTCTTACGAATGCTGTATCACCTGCTGCGTTCAATCCAGGTTGCTTATAAAACTGCATAGCTATAAGAATACTGTAACTGTAACCTGTTTTTCATTTACAGAGCACAGCCATGTAATGTGCAATGCAATTATTGACGGCTTATTAAATACAGTAAGTCAGCACACTCCCCAGACTCCAGAACTCAGTGTAACATTAACTAAATAAAATGTGGCTTGGGTTGTTGGACTATGATCATGGATTTTGGGCACAGATAGGTGGAGTGAGAGGAAGAGCTGCAGATTGAGGAGGACAGATCGTGATGTCCTGTGAAATGCCTGCTTATGAGAGCTAGATCAACTGCTGACCAGTCCAGCCTCTGGTTGAATCACTGAAAGTACATGGTAGGTTTTGCAGATAATGACATGTGGTATTCAAGTCAGTTCCTCTGTATGTCATGGCCAAGTCAGAAATAATGGTTAGATAGGTGTCTCGCTCAGCTCTACGAGATGAATAGACTTCACAAATGACATGTTTGAATACTCCAAAAGCCATATTAAATTCAGCTTTTAGCTTCACAGACACTAGGTGTCAAGGAAGCCATTTACACCCAGGTTGAGAACCCGTAGTTGAACAGAGAAGGGGGTCTGCGCCAACTTATCCCCCACTTACAATGTTGTCCTTTCATCACTTCCCAGGAAACTGAACAAGCATTTCCTTTTGGCCTCCGGTGAAGATGCCAACAATGGTCGCTCAGACTTTGCCACGGGTGGCTCTAACAACCATGACGACTGTCGTTACCACAGCCAGGAGCACTAATGAACCAGCAGTATTTATCATCCTAGCTAATGATCCCAGAGGTTAAATAGCTGAGTTTCCCTTCCCTTCAGTCAGAACTGAAGAAGTCTTTTGGATGAGGGACGAAACGTCTTCTAGTATCTTCAACCAACTCCACTTGCCCTTGACCTTAGTTGGATAACTATGACCTGGATGACTGTGAACCTTCACAGGAATCACTGACACATTTTTCAACATTCACAATGCGTCTATCACTCATTTCTGAGCATATCATGTAAGATTTTAACTAGATTTACTTCATTAACTCCGGTAGAGACTGAAACTGCACTTCATAGTGATCTCCGTGGGATGGTCATGCCATTGATGCCCACTGGAATGACATAATTTCAGCATAGAAAGCGCAGGCCAACCATGCGATCGAGGATGGGCCGGATGTTCTGGGAAAAACTTGACTGAACCGGACTCCAGGGCTTGGACAAGGCTGACAAGATGAGGTTGACCTCTAGGGAGTTGGCTGCTGGTACTAGGCCTCAAGCTCTTTTGGGTGGCAGACCAGCAGGGAGCGGTCTCAGCGGCTTTCCTGGGAACAGAGAAGTTGGAAAAGACATCAGATGGGGGTCCGATACAGATGTTTTCTTTGTTCATATCAAAAAGTTCCTTGTGAGAGGCTCTGACTGGAGCCATAATACTGTTTTAAAAACAAGGCTTCCATTGGCCATTTACAGATGCTGGGAGATTTCAATTTTTACTTGCAAGGCGAGAGCTCAAGCGGAAGGGAACGGCTTTCTCCTCGCTAATGGCTTCCTCTTTACCATGATGCAGTCCGTCTGCCAGAGATCTTCATCTTCATGGATGGAACGCGACATCACAAGCAGCAGGGTAAGTTGAAGCATGAATGCAGTGGTGATTTGCTTACAAGCGGTTCGCAGAGAAAGCAGCAAGTATAGGCAGGCTAGAGAGGCTTAAAAAAGGCTCCTTGTATGGCTTTGCCAATGAATAATTAGAATGAAATCAGCTGAGCTGTCAGCTGATGTGCGCTTGACATGACATGTTGCCTTCCTGAATGAACACTATGCTCAATGTATTACATGCAAAATAATAAGTTCTGCAGTTGCATTTACAATAATGTATTATATAACCATCACTCCTCAGTGAACTGCTTGCTTGACTGAAGTCTGTAGGAGTAAATATCTAGTGCCGTGTTTCCACTGCAGGAGCTATACCCTGGAACTAGGAACCTTTGGAGGAACTCATTGCCTTTCCCCTGCAGAGACCAGGGTCTAAAGTTAGTTCCCCCAAAAAAGTCCCTGCTCGGGGTAGTACTTTCTCAAAGTACCGGTAGTTTGGGGGAGTGGGGCTTGCCTTGCAGTGCATTTCTGAATGGGCGAGTAGAGGCTACTGGCTTTAAGTCAAGTATTTTGGGTTTTTTGCTACTACGGCTCGTCACTTTTCCATCTTGATTTTCCAATAAATCACAATCAACACCCTGATATCACACACAATGTCCGCCTGAGATTGTCCGTTGGCATTATAGCCTATTTATAGCTCGGAAATAGCAGCTAGTGTGCAGCTAGTGTGTAGCTTGTCCTGGCGTGTGTTCACAGCTAACAGCTGATGGAGTTAAGCTAATATTGTGTCCAAAATTATTGTTTGAAGTTTTCATCAGTCAGGGGGTTTCTAGAAGGAGCCGAAGTAGGTCTCTTCTCCAAAACAAAAGGACCAGCTGATTACAACAAGTAATACAACAAGTTAAAAATTACAGTCCTCCAACGCTCAGGCAGACACAAACTTGAGTGCCGCAAGCTGATCTGCAGCTTGTCGGCTGGAAATGTTTTAATGACCTTCCAAACTGTTGTGATTTTATGTTTGTGTTTCATTCTCTATGCTGGAGTTCTTTGAAGAACTTGATGGCTTTATCCAGTTTGTTATTAAAATTGTAATGAACTCGAATTGTGTGTCTTTTCATTGTACTCCTTCACAAAAAAAACAAAATCTACTTTTGGTGGTCAAGCATTGTTTTTCATTATATTCTAATCAAATCTGATGTTCATATATACATTTTCATGGATAGTGACATAAATAAACAATGATGACTTTCCTTGCTTTCAGCAAGTCAGGGGTTTGCTGTTGCTCAGCGGGGACAGGAAGCAGCTGCAGTTCTACGACTGATAATTGTGGAAGTTTAGGTTCAGGGGATGGTTACAGCACAGAAACTACACTTTGAAGGTCAGAATGGACAAGAAGCCACTGCAGCTGAGCAGGGACATGATGTTGCAGCAACTCAGCAGGGACAGGAGGTTGCTGCAGGGGCAGGGGTCGGCCGGACCGCTGACTGGACACATGAAGCAGGAGTCGGCGGGGCCGTCGATTTGATGCAGGAAGCAACCAGGAGTAAGTGTCTGCTGGGCCAGCGACAGGGAACCAGGAGCTGGTGTTTGCTGGGCCGCCGACGGAGAACCGGTAGCTGATGTCTGGTTGCCGGGTTGCCTGGGGAACATAGTCTCTGGGTTACTGGGCAGCTGAATTGCTGCGTCGCTGGCCAGCAAAGTTTCAGGAGCACTGACCAGCCAAGTCTCTGGATTGCTGGGCAGCACCTTCTCTGTGACTTTGGGCAACCCTGTCTCTGCAACACCATGCAGCTATGTCTCTACGACATCGGGCAACGAGGCCACTGAAGTATTGGACAGCGTTGATGACAAGGAGCTGGGAAGTAATGTGGATGAGGAGCTGGGCACCGAAGAGGACGAAGGGTCCGTAATGGTGTTCTGACTGTACTGTTATATTTAACAAAGCGTTGACAGGGATTTGGGCCCTATTGCGGGACACTTTAGGCGGAGCAGATGTGGTTAATATGCCTGACAGAACAAAATGCTGGTGGTAATAACAGAAGGTGAAAATATTAATCAAACAGATTAGACACAGTTTAGGCTACTCATGGACCGATTGTAAAGTAATATCCATTTCCTACCCTCCACACTCTCCGTACTCAAATAAACTTTTTACTGTATTACCTACCTGTCCTATTTTTTTAACTGTAATTTCTTGTCTTTCCTGAGTAAATTCCCTGCATGTTGTAAGAATATGTTCTTCTGTTTCAGCCTCCTGACATTGTTCACACATTCCTGTAGGATGTTTTCCTATAATTAAAAAAAAACTTTCAACTCTCTAAATTATTTCCATACAATTTCAAATACCCTTCCCCGACTTTCTTTATTGTGAAGAATATAACTTTTGTTTTTTCCACTGAAAACCTAAATCCCCATTTTGTTCCCCACTTTTCGACCTGATTAATTCCATCTTGCATTTTCTTACCTACATATTCCAAATTTCTCCCTCTTTTCCACAATGTTCCGTCATCTGCAAACAATGATCTCCAAATATCCATTGGAATGTTAACAAATACATCATTTATCATAATGGAAAATAAAGTTGAACTTATTACACTCCCCTGAGGTGTCCTGTTCTCTACAATATATTGGCTTGATAATTCTGCTCCTATCTTCACCTGAATAGTTCTTTCATTTAAAAAGTCCATAATCCAATTAAAAATTCTCCCTCCAACACCCATTAGGTTCAGTTTAATTAGCAACCCTTCCTTCCATAACATATCATATGCCTTTTCCACGTCGAAAAATACTGCAACCTTTGTCTCTTTATTTACTTGAGCTTATTTCATCTTCTAGCCCGAGCACAGGATCTATAGTACTCCTTCCCTTCCTGAAACCGCTTTGATATGAAGCCACCATTTCTCTTTCTTCCGGGAAGCATGTTAACCTCTTATTCACTATACGTTCCATTAACTTACAGATATGAGTCATCAAGGCAATTGGTCTATAGCTTCCAGGTCTGCTGGCATCTTTTCCAGGTTTCCTTATTGGAATTATTAAGACAGTGATAGTAACTGCAATGAGCCCAAAAACTGACATAAATACAGAGGAGTCTGTAGCGTTTCTAGATATGCTGGTTGGTTGACTAAACTGCACAACGTGTTATCATGTGCAGTGGATGAACAGACTCTGCCGACACACGACGCACACAGCAGCAGAACAACGTGTAACGTGTCGCTCAACACTGAGAGCTTCAGTTTACACGCTGTTAGCAAGTCAGAGCGACAAACCAAAGCTAAAAGTTAACTCACCCTGCGTTCACTATAAGGTTATTTTCTTCAATCAAGTTTCCCTCAGCGCTCTCATAAAAACTAAAATACACCAGACTTCAGAGTGACTGAAAAATCTCCGCAGCGCGTCTTCCGCCGTGTTGTCATTGACCCAAACAAACCCACGTTGCATTCTGCGCATGCGCGCCTGCTTCTGGGAGACGCTGGACAGTGTTTGCTATGAGATTTTAATAGCGCGGTTAACCGTACCCGGTTATCATGGTAATTAAAATGTGTATGGTAATAATAACCGTCAGGAATTTTACCATGGTTTACCTTTAAACCAGTAATCGTTTCATCCCTGCTCCATGTTTTCAGATTATGTTTTCTCTCTACCTCTTCTACCTTCTTCTTGCAGATTATTTGAGCTATGTACCGTAACAAAAGTTTTTGCCATTAGCTTTGCCTTTTCCCTATTTGTTACTGGGGTCTCATTCGCGATGTCCTCATTGCCATATTTCTCTTGCACCAGACTGGATAATGATCACTCTCTATAGTTCCTTCATGGTGCACTGACCAATTACATACTGATGCCATGGAGTTTGATACCAAAGTGAGATCTACCACAGATTATTTTCCTGTATGTGTATCTATCCTAGTGTTACTGCCATCATTTAAGCATACTAAATTCTTTTCATCAAGTAACTCTTCTATCACCTGACCATTTGTGGCTGTTCTATCTCTGCCCCATATCACTGTCCATTAAAATCTCCACACCAAACAATATTACTATCACTATATTACAATATTACTACTATTCTGCCCTCCTATCTCTTCCAGGTTCATTAATTCTTCTTTTTTGCACGGCTTATAATAATAATAATTCACAATTGCTACTTCTTTCCTTTCAGCCCACACTTTCACTACCACGTACTCTTGTACTCTTCCTATCCCTAAAATCCTGTAAGGAATGCCGTGCTTTATAAAAGTGACACATCCCCTGCCTGCCCCATCCATCCTATCTCGCCTCACAGTTTACATACCCATGTAGAACAAAATCCAAGTTTGGTTTTAACCAGGATTCTTGGATACACACACAATGTCTGGTTTTACCCCCTATTAACTATAAACCGTTTGAAATCTTGCCCATTAGCTATCAAGCTTCTCGCGTTCCACTACAGAATTAAAATTATTAGTACTTTACTGTATACAAAGTTCATCTCTTACTTCTTCCCACTTTAATCCTATCATATCATATCCAAATGGTGCACTGCAGCTTTTACTATGACCTGAATCCATTCAGTTTTAGATTTGATCTCATATGTTGCATTTATCACTCCTGCTATGAATGTCACCAAGTTCTTCTTCTCTACCCATGCCTTCGTCTCGTCTTGCTGTTTCCTCCCCACCACTTGCATCCTCCCTCTTATTCTCTCCCGCCATCTTAACTGGCTCAGCATATGATACTTTTTCCTTTACACGAATTTGTTGCACCTCCACCTCTTGCTTCAACACCTCACATCCCCAATATAAACACTGTGATTACCTCCACAGTTACTACATTTGGGACTCCTCTCCTCACTTCCCATATTCATGATCCCCCCCCACATCTAACACATTTTCTCTTTCCTTTGCATACTTTAGCTACATGTCCAAACTCCTGGCAGTTGAAACATTGCATGTGCACCACGGTTTTGGTATGTATTCTCTTACATTATATCTCACAAAGCCACAGTAAACCTCCTTTGGAATCACCTTTTCTCCGAACTCTAACAGTTTCAGTCTGAATTTTCTCTATTCCTCTTGTCATTCTTTTCACACTCTTAACTGATCCATCCCTCACTGTCAGGTTCTCCATTAGCTCCCTCATACTGACATTAAGAGGAACTCCAGAAATCACCCCTATGCTACCACTGTGTTCTCCAACTCTTACAACCTTAGACACTGATTTTTCCAATGATAGTCATCTTCTTTGCTTTCATCACCTGTTCTTCACTACTACACCCTATTAGCAAGTTTCCATCTCCTAATACTTTTGCATGATTTACTTCCCCCACTTGCCCTCGAATGATTTTGTAAACTTCAGTGGATCAATTTTCTTTACTCCCCCCTCCCCCTCAAATCTTATCACTACATTAAGCACTCCTGCCTTTGGTTTCTTCCTCTCACTTTCTCTTCCTTCATTTTCTGCTTTGCTTAAACTAGTTGTATTTTTCTTTCTCTTAAACCTACCTGCGTTCTTGTTCTCTCTCTGTCTTACTACCTCTTTCCACCCTTTTCCTCCCCTTCATCTATGTAATTTCCCTCTACCTCACTAAACTCCATATTGTTACTATCATCTATCTCCCTCCCTGCCATCCTATCCGCGTTTGTAAGGAACCCCGCAGGACTACTGTTCCGGACCTATACAGGCCGTCTGTCTATAGTCCTGCACTGTGTTCCCCACAAAACCCAATTCTACGACTAGAAAATGAAAATATTTGCTAATTCAAACCATATACTCAATTTCAAACTCAGCACCAAACAATCGAGCGTCTCCTCTTCCGGGTCCCGAACACTCCGACCCTTCTCCAGCAAAGCACCACGACAATTCAACTCCCAACAGTGGAACTCCTGCCTGCGCCAATCCCTCATGAGCTATCCCTGTCCCTCACAGGACTCAGACATGCAGGAAACTTATGTAGTGGCTGATCAGGCCATTCTGACACCAAGGGGGTAGACAAACACATAATATATAAACAACCCACAATAACTACAAAACATGTTAAGCCAATGCTACTTAATATGAAATAAAGGTAATTAATACAATAATTATAACAACAAAAGCATAACTAGTAAATAAGAGAACAAAACTCTAAAATGGAAAACTCTTCCCCTCCCCATGATATGGGAGAACATGGTGTAGTCCAATTATCCATCCCCTACTTAAACAGCTTAGATTCAGTTGGAAGACATTTTGTCAGCCAACCAGAGACCCCCATCAGCAACTCCCCAGGAACTGGTAACTCAAGAAGAAAAGTATTAATTTCACAGAATATATCTTTAGTTAAACAAAGATAATGAACCTAAAATTAGCAAAATTGACAAAGTTAACTAAATGTGTGCACCGAAATAGACAACTAATGTTAAATAGCTAATAAAACTAAAATCTGTGTGTCCAATTAGTTATTTTGTATTATATGTAATGTGCTCAAAACAAATGAGAGAGTTACCACCGTGAGTTGTTGCTTTCATGTGTGGCTGTTAGTGCGGCCATCACAAACACCAAAATACTCTGCGTTCCAAAAGATATGGTCTCTGACTGAAAGAATCTTGCATATCATGTCTGGACATCTAACTGTGATATACATGAATAGTGCACATAGGGAACAGTCTGAAGTGTTGCAACAGAAATTGTTCATCTCTTACCAATTTTACTTCCTGTGTCACTCATGTGTTCCCTCTGCCAAGGACAAGAGAGAAGAGGAATCAAAACAAGAAAAAGACGTAACACAGCCCAACAGAAACATTGACGGAGTGCCACCACGGCCTCAGTCTGAAGAGAGCTTTAATCATGAGAGACTTTAGAGCCAAGAGGAATAGTCTCGACCCCCTTAAACAAAAACCACTTGTGAGGATTCACCTTCTTCACACCCAGAACCGAATCCATATCACCCTCATCTCCAGTCACCCTTTCATCAAATACTGTGGTGACACTCCTACGTAATGCTGTATGATTGCTGCGCTACTGCAGAGGACATCGCGAATGGAAGGATTAGAGAGTGTACAAGCGTCCTGGCATGGTCCTAGCCCATGATAATGACTACTGGCTAATACATCGATTTAGATTCCCTAGAGCGTTGCTCTTGGATCTATGTGCAGAACTGGGTCCAGTATTCAACAAACCTCCTCAGCAACTACTTCTACCATTGGCTTTAAGTCTTCAGCCAGTTTAGAGACATTTGTCCCAGTTACAGTGCCCGACCTCAATAACGGCATTAAAATCACTCTCTGTAACCCCAGTCTGATCAAAGTGCAGGACGTCCAGTTATTTGTGTAAAAAATGTAGCAACCTCTAACTGATATCCACTGGGTTCAGGCTACAAGGCAAATGGCCCTCATGACTCTTCCCAGGACAAGGCGGGTCACAGTGTGCTGGTACTGTTTCTCAATTCCTGTCCTGGGGCAGATAATGCTTTTCACACACCAAATTTAGCTTCAGTATTTCCCACATAAAGACTTTACTTGGGCTGGCCTCCCAGGTATATTACCAGGAGCCAAAGTATATTTGGCAACCCATTTTACAATTACAGAGAAACACAGACAGAGATGTTGTTGTCATGAACCCTCTGCCGTGACTCCCTGCCTATATTGGCAACAGGTATGTGTATGAGTGTGATTTTGTTTATTACTTCCTTTTTGGCTGAGAGTGGTATGCTTGGTGTGTTACAGTTTAGTCTGTCCATCTGCCTGTGTGCGTTCCCATCCACCACTCAACAATACCATACGTACCAAGGCCTCACATTCAGTCGCACGCAGTAGGCTATGTGTAAAGACACGTACCAGCCAGTTTACCCAGTTAAAATCTTTGTATCCTGCTCAACTCACTGTCCTCTCCATCTGTAGAACTACAAACAAACCAGACTTCTTCCCTGGTTCTTCATTTCCACGGTTGTGGTGACTGCTCTCTCTGATGATTCCTGTGTTTTCTTTGAAAGTGCTATCAAAAAACTTTATATAACTGAAAACAACAGTGAAGTGTTCATTCAGGTTTCTCTTCCACACCCATCCTCTCTTGGGTCTCAGTCAATGAGCTTGTCGATCATTTCAATTCTAAAATGACAACGGTAAAGATGCATTTGCACTCACTAAGGTGAAGGCGGTCTCTGGTAAAAAGCAACAAAATATGTCACGATACTTATGCAGACGACACATCAATGTACATAATCAGATCACATGGGGAATTTCATCCCATAGAAGTGCTGAGTAAGTTTTGAATTGAACAAATCAACAATTGAATTAATTTCAATTAAATAAAGGTAAAAGTAAAGTAATGGTTTTCAGTGCCATGGAAGAAAAATTAAGTAAACACATAGCTTCAATCAGCAAAGTAAAAAACGAACCAAGCCAAAAATCTTCTGTAGTCATGGACTCAGAGCTGAATTTCAACAGCCACATTCAGGCGATTACAAAGTCAGCCTACTATCACCTGAAGAATATATCCAATCCAATCCACTTTATTTATATAGCACAATTAAAAAAAAAACAACAAGGTTACCAAAGTGCTTTACAGAGATAAAACAAACTAAGTTTATAATAATAGAAAACAAAATAAATAACCTCAACAATGACACTGACAACAAAGACCACAGCAGCTCTCATGGTGAATTAAAAGCCAGGGAATAAAAATGTGTTTTTAAATGAGATTTAAAGGTACAGAGGGTGGGCAGCACTTTAATGTGAGGAGGTAAGTCATTCCACAGTTTGGGGGCAACTGCTGGTCTTCAGCCTGGTCCTGGGCACCTTCAGCCGCAGCTGATCAGCAGACCTCAGTGACCTTGACAGGGTGTAAGTGAGCAGGAGCTCAGAGATGTACTGAGGTGTCAACCCATTAAGTGACTTAAAAACAAACATTAAAATCTTAAAATGTATTCTAAAATGTACAGGGAGCCAGTGGAGCGAGGCCAGAATGGGGGGTAATGTGTTTGTGTAAATGCCGATGTAAAGTGCATTACAGTAATCCAAATGGGTCGAGATAAAAGCATGAATCACATGCTCAAGGAGATAAAACAGGTAATTAATAGTAATTAATTTTAGATAAAAGCCTCAAATGATAAAAACTGGATTTAACCACAGTGTTTATCTGCTTGTCAAGTTTAAAATCACTGTCAATTTTGTTGCCTAAATTGGTGACTACTGGTTTTACGTACTGTTGCAGGGAATCAAGGTTTACGGGAGTGGAATCACAAACCTGACTGGGTCCAAACACAATGACCTCTGTTTTTTCTTCTTTTAAATGTAAAAAATTAAGAGACATCCAGGCCTTAATATCCACCAATCTGCGATCTGTGTTTGGGGCCTGCTGCTTTAAAAGCTGTCTTACTGAAGTGCAAAGGGAGCTGTCTGCCATTTACTGTTTGGCCTCTGTGGAGACCACTGTGTGTGTTATGAGCCTAATATATGTATATTGTGTGCTCCTTTCCAGCAGCTCACTTCTGTGGCCTGCTTGTGTTTGTGATCTGCTGTTATTACTGAGAGTCAGTGTTTGTTTTTGTTAAGAGCAGTCTTTGTGTTAGTTGTTTAGCTTAAGAGTTTGTAACCCTGTTGCAGCAGTTTATTTCTTTACTGAGAGTAAATAAGGGTTTATTTTTGTTAAGAGATGCACTTGAGTTAGTTGTATTAAACCATGTGTCTGTAGAGTTGGGCTAAGATTTGGAGTAAATACTGACACCCACTCTACATGTGTAGGATTTCCCTTTGTTTAGCTCATCAGGTTTAGGGGTGCTGCGCTCCCTGTGTTTTGTTTTTGAGACACCCTAAATAGAGGTTTTGTTTTTGAGACACCTTAAATAGAGGTTTTGTTTTCATTTTAGTTTTCTGAGTTAGTAATCCTGGTTTTGGAGGGATCTCTTTTTGTTATCTTGTTTGTTTTTTGCAGCACCCACTTGCCCAACTTTAGTTGTTTAAACCTTGTAAACTCTCTTGTGTAAATAACTTTTCCACCATACCAAGTACATCTGGTTTATGCGTACTTTACGAGTCCTCACTAAGACCAAAAATGTGGATCACATCACTCTGGATCTGAGGTCTTTACACTGGCTTCCTGTTACTGTTGGTGGTTTATAAAGCTCTGGAAGTTTTAGGGCCAAGAAACATTTCTGATCTTCTGCTACGTTGTGAACCATCCAGACCTCTCAGGGAAAGGTCTGCTTTCTGTCAAAACAAACGTTTCTCAGCTTTTGATTAACATCTTACACTGCACCCTTAACTTTTTATCTTGTTTTTATTTTCTGTTTAACATTTTTATAAGTAACTGTTAAGTTTGTTTTATGTTAAGCACTTTGAAATGCCTTGTTGTTCAAATGTGCTAAATAAACTAGCCTTGCCTTACATCCTGTCAGCAATCAATAAATCAAATGGCCTACTCTGCCGCTGCAAGCACCTACCTGCCTAATCTACCTACCTGCGTGCACTCCGCCTTGGGACATTTACATTGCGCATGACCTTATCTTTTGGAGGAGTGGCTTGGGGGGGCGGGGGACTTTAACACGTAAACATCTCTGGTCGTCTGGGTTTTTTTCCGTTAAACTCACATACCTGCACATATCGCGACATCTATATTGATGCCTTCAAGGTACCATTTCTGTGGGAAATTCCCCTCATTACAGAAATTGCTGTTAAGAATATATGTGTTGCAGCTTCCAAGCTGCTGTTAATTATTATGCAGAGGGCGTTGGTTGAGTTCATTATAACCCTATTGTGAGAAATTGAACAAGGCCATGTCTGACACGTGTAACAGTTGATTAATCATGAATGCTCTGCTGCAACTCGCTGGACATCCATATTATACATGACCTTTGAGCCACTCACTAAGCCCTTACCGACGGTTCAGGGCGGATCTGCTGCTCCGCTGCCACACCTCCTCAGTTTGCCAAAACTCTGGCTCTTTATTACAGTTTATTAAACCACCTCTCAGTTGCGTGCAGCAAGAATGGCAGAGCCCAACGGGATATTGATAAAAGGAGGTAAAGTTGTGAATGAGGACTGCTCCGTGATCAGCGACGTCTACATCGAAAATGGGAAAATAATTGAAGTTGGACGGAATCTGCAGATCCCAGCAGGAGTGCTTGTTATTGATGCCACCGATAAACTGGTGATCCCGGGCGGCATCGATGCGCACACACACATGGAGCTGGCGTTCATGGGCACCACGTCTGTGGACGACTTCTATATCGGAACCAAGGTGAATATTTTCCACACATAGAAAAAGATCACGGGTCAAGGTAGACATGTCAAACCGAATAATAACGGAAGTTAAGCGGTCGTGCCTTCACCCTAAGGCGCAATTTTTGTATATTATTTTTTGTAGGTCTATATTATTTTATTATTGTCGAAACCGCTTTTAATTATAACAGTGGCAGTTAGCCTATTGCCTGCTTATGTCACATCAAACGGAAGTAATCGGATGTTAATTAAGTAAAAGTAATACTGTTACGTATTTATATATATATCATATATGATACTGTAAGTCCAGCATTCAAATTTTTACCTTGGAATAAGTACAAAAATATTAGCAAAAAAAACCAACAACTCAAAATAGGCATACCACAAATTCAAGTAGCTGCTCATGCTGAATGGCCCCCATTATGTTACAATACTGAATTCTGAATATTGATGCATTAATTAACATACAGGCTATGACTTTATTGCTGCTGCTGGTAAAGGTGGGCTAATTTTAATTCTATAACTAAAGTTATCAAATAAATGTTGGATGAAATAGATGGATAGAACTAAAGTTATCAAATAAACTGTGAAGAAATATTTGCTACTGAATAGAAGAGTACTTGTACCTCATACAAAGTACTGTAATTATGTACACTTTAAAGTACACTTAAAGCTGTGAGTGCATGTACTTAATTACTTTTCACAACAGCATGCTGCAATAGCCAGACTTCCCATACTGTCCTGAGTGTAAATCAATGTGAAATGAACTTGGATATCTTAAGAATTTCCAGTATCCAATTCCCTGCCTCTGCAAGCTGGCCACTGGTAGTAAATACCTTTATGACATTTACTGATGTAGGTGTGGGATTCATTTGCAGTATTAGTACTGATTCATTTTACTTGAATAGTTGAAATAGTTAGCCTGATGTTTGTGCAAAAACATGTCTTCTATATAATATTAATGCTAGTGTTTTATTTTGAAGTTTGTGGCCAGAAGTGTATTTTGAACTTGTCTGACTTAACTCAGGCTATGTGTAAGTGCTCTAAGTTAGTCATAACAAATCAAAATACCTAGCACTGGTTGAAGAAATATTCAGATCCTTTATTAAAAGTAGTTATATCATACTGTGCAAATACAAGTAAAAGTTGTGCATTCAAAGCCTTACTTAAGTAAAAGTATTATCAGCAAAATGTACTTAAAAGTACCAAAAGTAAAAGTACTCATAGTGCAGTAAATGTTCCCTGTCAGTGTTGTACTATTATGTTTTTAGATAGATAGATAAAACATACACAACTTAACACAAAACACAGAGGTATGTGGCAAACAAGCATGAGGGAGGTTAAGAGGAATGACTTCCTGTAGCAGTCCGTTTTTCTGCAGACCTGAAGGGGCCCCCGACAGAAGATACTTTGTTGTCCAACTAGTAGTTCGTGCACAGGATGTGAAGTGTTGTGCATGATTTTGAGCAGTTTGTGCAACACCAATGCAACATGATTTATATTTCTGCTGCATTTATGTGTATGTTGCATTTTACTGCTGTAGGGTTGTGCTAACTTTAGCTACTTAATATTCTGTGGAATGGTTTAATCTACAGCAATGCATCCTTTTCTGTGTGGTCATCATATGTTTGTCTTCAACCTTTAGTTTATCAGAAAAATTTAAATTCATAATCACCACTTTTGGAGATACATGGTTTTCACTGGACAGGAAAGGTTAAAAATCGTAATCTAAAATCAGTAACTAGTAATTAAAGCTGTCAGGCAAGTGTTGTGGAGTAGAAGTATAAGGTAGCATAAAATGGAAGTACCTCGAAATTGTACTTAAGTACAGTGCTTGAGTAAGTGTACATTCCTCCACTGCTAATTAGCAGCTTGTGTCAGCTTTGTTAGAAGTATGACCATCATAAGTTCTGTAATTGAGGCGTCAGGGTGACATAAAGTGGCTTACAGAGGAACAAAGACACCAGAGAGTCGCTGTCTGAATGCATCAGTCACAGCTGAACAAAATGTTCTGATGTGGCAAAGGGAAACAAATGCGTAGAACTCACAGCAAGTTATACCAGACACTGACTAAACTGCAACAAATAGCCATCATTCTGAATCAACATCTGTCAAAAACCCAACATTCTCAGCTTCACATAGGTAGCTGGGCTACTTTATTAGCTTGTGTGTCGTTTCTGTTATATTGTCCACAACAATGAACTGTATAATTTTGTTTTAACAATATCTATGTTATGGGCATTTTCCGTTCCCTAAATCCACTGAAGTAGATGACTGGTATTGGTATTGTGTAATCCTGATAACAGTGTCAAAGGAAACTGCAGTATGTTGACCAATGTGATGCAACATCCACCGACATGAAAACCACCGCATTTAACATCTGTACTCTCAGCTTTTCGGGAGAGTTTGTTGTTACATCTGGTTATTTTCAACAAGTATAACATGGTTCGATATCATGTGTCCTTATATCATCTTATAATTGATAGGAAGTTGGATAATGTTGATGTATTTAATCAGAAATCAGTTATTAAAGTTTTTTTCAGGCCTTCTTCTCCAAACCTCTGCCACATCCCACTCGAATTAGTGAATTCTTGAGAGTATTTGATTTAATTAGATTTTTTTATTTGAAGCATATCACATAGCTTGGAAGCATTCACAAGTGAATCTTTAATTTGTATCTGTGTGGTACTTTGTGTATTTTACCAGGCTGCTCTAGCAGGAGGGACGACAATGATCCTGGACTTTGTCATTCCCCAAAAAGGCAAGTCTCTCCTGGAAGCTTATGACTGTTGGCGTAAGACAGCTGACCCCAAAGTTTGCTGCGACTACTCGCTGCATGTCGCCGTCACATGGTGGAGTGATAAGGTGAATGAGTTCATAAATCATTGTTATTAAATAAACTTTTTTTGCAAAGTGTTAGGTTACAAGTATGCTTGTCAATTCCAAATAAATTGGGGTCAGAAATTGCAGCACACAGAAGTGTCTGTTAAAAATAAAAATGTCGAATAGGATTTGTGTTTCTATTGTGCTGAAGGCACCAAGCAATTCACCCCCCCCCCCCCCCCCCCCCCCCCACACACACACACACACACACACACCCTTTTCAGAGGGATGTAGGAGTATATGCTAGTTATTAAGAGTGATTCCTCCATGTATGTCTCCCAACCCGTTCCTTCTCTAGGTCAAACAAGAGATGCAGACACTGACCAAAGAGAAGGGAGTGAATTCCTTCAAGATGTTTATGGCCTATAAAGATGTGTATATGCTGCAGGACTCTGAGCTATATGCTGCCTTCTCCCAGTGTAAGGAGGTTGGAGCTATAGCTCAGGTGCATGCTGAAAATGGAGACCTGATCGCAGAGGTTAGTATGAGCTGGTATGTTTATTAACTAGAGTGAATTCATGGTACTCAACACTTTTCATATTAACCCATAATAGTATTAGTTTCCTTTTTGTTCCAGTCTTAGCTCAAGCAATAGGGTTAATTATTTGGTAAATATACAGAATTGAACTGGTAGAAGATTCTTGCTAGCACGGACAGTGCTAATTGTCCTCCAACTAGAGTAGCAAGCAGAACAAGTTGCAGCCCTTTTCGCCAGGAAAAGTTTTTTTAGGGCAGGTCAGGTAAATAGCGTCTATGTGTAAACACAACACAGTAAACAATTATGTGTTAATGTTTAACCATGTTGTTAGCTAAGTGTGTGTTCATGCAAGGTCCTGATCATAGAAGTGTCAAAGGAGACTGTGGCAGTAATAGTAACAGGAAAATCAGTAGAAACAATGCAGAAATTGCATCTTATAACTTGAGAATTGCTGGAAGCTCTGAATGAAGGGACGTGTTGACTCATTGCTTGCCCCTGCATATTCCAAGTGGCTCAAAGCCCATTGACACTGTCTATACTAGCAATGAGAGCAAATGTTTAGGAAAGCAACGTGATGACCTACCACAAGTAGCCTTTTGCTCTATCCAGTGTCTATAATGCCGACATGGTTTGATATGTCTTATCCAGAGAAGCACCAGTATAATTAGTAACATTAAGTACACCTGACCTGTGTACATATGCTGGTTCCACGGCCTCTGTATTGTTCATAATTGCTCACTGGCATAACAGAATACAAAAATTGAATGGAGCTATAATTAATGATATTACTTGTACCTGTATATTTCTGATTTAATAAGTCAAAATGGCCAATTATTTCTCATAAATGCATTTGTATTTTCCAATTCATCTTTTTTTCCAAATGTCATGACAACAATTCACCACTAGGAAGCAGCAAATGCCAAAAAAGTGAAACGTGTGTCTCTTGTGGTGGGGAAGACATGATCAGTGGGAAATGTGTTGAAGGTGTAGTAAGCATTAATTTGTATTGTTAACCCAAATGTTCTGTTCTGTTTTATATATTTAAAGGGAAAAATGTCTTTGATTTTGGAACTCTTGGTTAACTTGTTTTAAAGCACTGCTTTGGCTTGTTGCAGTGTTAGTTTAGGTATAGCTGTATCTGTTGTAGTCTGTTGCCTCTCTGCTTGGACAGACACTATGCTGTTTTCATTCTATCTCTCTTAACCTTTATGCTGCCTTGTTGTCCCCGTCCTTGCTGGGACTTAATAGGGGTCTAAGAAGATGCTGTCAATGGGCATCACGGGGCCCGAGGGCCATGAGCTGTGTCGGCCAGAGGAGGTGGAGGCCGAGGCCACCCAGCGAGCCATTACCATCGCCCATGCTGTCAACTGCCCGCTGTATGTGGTCCATGTCATGAGCAAATCTGCCGCCAAGGTGGTGTCTAATGCACGCAGAGTTGGTGAGTGTGGGCTTGCTGCCACCTGCTGTTGAAATAGAGCAAGGTTGAGAGTTGGTGGCCCTACATGGCCTTTAAAAGGCCAGACCCAGTATTATTAGACATTCAGTGTCTTTTAATTATTCAGTGTCTCTACATATCTTTCTTCTTGTCATGGTGGAAAAGCCTTTAAAACACAGAGAAGATTCTAAATTCAAGGTTCCTAAACTTATATTCCTAAACTTTTAGGCCATATTCCATGGCCTTCTTCAGAAGGTGGTCTTGCTCAGGCGTCATCATATGACCTCTTAAACAGTAAAAAGACATTTCTGACAACTTTATTTGTTTGTTTTTTTCTCTCTCTCTACAGGTCGTGTGGTGTTCGGGGAGCCCATTGCAGCTGGATTGGGCACTGACGGTACTCACTACTGGCACAAAGAATGGGCCCATGCTGCTGGCTTTGTCATGGGTCCTCCCCTCAGACCTGACCCCAGCACCCCTGGGTACCTCATGGACCTACTAGCCAAGTAGGTGGAGCTGAAAGTGTAGCAACCAGTAGTGTCACCGCATATTGTAAAAAATCTCATGTAAGGACTGGTGAAATTCTTCAGTGCTTTGTAATTTAGCATTTATGTTTCGGAGCAATTGGCTTCTGTAAGAGTATAGAAGGAGGACTGAGGCAAAGATGCTGGTGCTGACATGGCAGACTGAATGATGACTAAATAAGTATGAATGTTTGTTTTGTTATGTGTGCTTATTCATTCCAGCATTTATTCTGTCATTCATCCATACCTTTATTTATCCATCAAATGTGCTAGTGATGATCTCAGTGTGACGGGGACGGACAACTGCACCTTTTCTGTGTGCCAGAAGGCTCTCGGCAAAGATGACTTCACCAAGATCCCTTATGGAGTGAACGGAGTGGAGGACAGGATGTCTGTCATCTGGGAGAAAGGAGTGGTACGTCCTAATAATAATAATAATAATAATAATAATAATAATATGACTGCTCTTTATCAGACATTGTTCAACAATAAGACTTCAGAAGTCTGAAACAGCAGAAGTGTGAGCTGCACAATCTGCTATTAACAACTATTCTGCAGCATCCTGTCAGTATCCATGAAATTAGAGCGTTCACAGTGACGTGGCTGTGGGCTGAATAAAAACATGCATAAAAAAGCGACAATGTAGCTTGGGAACAGATTTCCACCTGATATGGATCCAGTTGGGCCAATCACATCCGTTTATCTAACATGGGATTGGTTTGATTGGATTACCAGATTTCAAAAGTCACACATCACGCTGCTCTGATTGGTTGTAGGTCTGGACATGCTTCCAGTCTGCTGGCCCGTCCAGTGCAACACACCTGTCAACTGTCAAACTAGGCAGTTCTCATCAAGTATGAATCAAGATTCTGTCACTGCATTGCCTATTTCCTATCCCAAATGTTTTCAGAAACACATTGTAGTGTATTATTTAGCTGTAATTTGAGAAAGTTTCTAAAAAATGTTCATGACTATAAACGGACTAAGCACAGTCACAACTTGCATGTGTCTATCCAATTGCGTCTACCGTGTCTTTCTTATATACATTCTACGGTCTAGAAGCATTTTGGTCTCGAACCATTGATAACGCCCCTTGGAAATCGAAAATGAATGAGATGTTCCAGACTAATACGCATTTTCTAATTAGTCTCGCAATGCCAGTCTATAGCAAAGAACAACATAACCAGAGATGAAATTGTGCTTTTTAAATTGAATGTCCCTTTTTGCATGTATCTTACGTCAGCTTGAGTCTTCTTACTGTGATGCATAGTCAAAGCTGATTACTCATCTTGTATGAATGCCAAATTATTGAAATAATATGCATAATTTAGGCACAGTATCACTTCAAATTACAGGGCTCCTATGACTGCTGCCCCTTTGCTGACATCAAGTTATAAAGATCTGTCATGCCTTGGGGCCTGTGTGTATGCACTAAAACAGAGCAGGGTCCATTGTACATTTTCTAATCTTTTAGTGAGCCATGTACATACATGACTTTCATTATCAAGTTTAATGTTTGGCTAGATTCAAGATTCAAAGACTTTGTCATTCTGACCATGTAGGTACTTTTACAGGGCATAATGGGATAGCGTTGAGCTAAGAATGTATAAAGTGTATTAACTCTTATTGTTCTACTCTTCTCATTATTGAGATTAGTTGAACTGAAATACAAGCATTTTAGGCAATAAACTCTAAGAGCTGCAGCAAAGAGCAGGCATTGCATTTTCTCACCGTTGTTGTGAGGACAGTGTTTCAGCCTGGCTGCCCCAAGGCCACCGGAAAGATTTACCACATGCAACAATGCTTACACATCACACATTAGATGATATTTTGGCAGAAATGAGTTGCTTGCTGCACAGTTAAGCACTGACCTTTTGGTCTGCTAATTCTTTATTTTGTTGACATCCACTGTGGCCCCTTACTCAGACTGGCTGCTTTGTGCGTGTCTTCCCCTCAGCACAGTGGAAAAATGGACGAGAATCGATTTGTAGCCGTCACCAGCAGCAACGCAGCAAAAATCTTCAACTTCTACCCGCAGAAAGGCCGTATCGCCAAGAACTCAGATGCTGATGTGGTTATATGGGACCCCAAGATGACAAGGTGAGGACCCAATTCTAGCCGTTCAGTGATATGGGGCAGTGCTTTTGCAATAGAGCAGGAAAAGAAGGCTCTCGGACACTGTGTGTCTACAGTTTCAAATGTGCATGACTCCCATGCACATTCTGAATGTTCTCTTATCTCTCAGTATTAAGTTAAACATTTCTGCCAGCACTATCAGCGGCTTAAACTGCAGATGGTGCTGCTGAAACATTGGGCAGACTTGAAAGCATGTCTTCAGGGTGTCAAGCATTGGGTCGAATAAGATAAGGTTTATAAAGTTTAGCATTAAAGCATGCAGGCTATAGATACAGGCAACTAAAAAGAGAATTGATGTATCTTTCATCTTGTGCCACCTCTGCAGACACACACACACTAACCTCGGCATGTAAGCTGATTACGTCTGTGCTCTATCCAGAAGTCAGGGTATGTTATCACTTATCTACAGCTGCAAATTAAAGCATAAAACGATTTACATATGAATCACATTCATCAGTCATTAAAAAAGACTGTTGGAATGATTCATTCTTTTCCATGTTTGGTTATTTTTTAGGAAGGATTTTAACACACTTACATAAGCTAAGAATCAGTGGGACGACGCTGATGGGTCATGGTGAGGATCTTAAAGATGACGAATATTTCATGTGGGAGCTAAACCAATTTTCATAGTGCAGAACACACAGTATTAAGGCTATTTTCAGTAACTGGCTCAGAATATCGTAAGGCTATGTATAAAAACGGATCATGTGATTGTTTCTTTTCGTTTTCTTATTATTCTTAGTAGGTCCTACATATGGGGTGTAGAACAAATATGCTGTGGAGCACATGCACAGATGCAAGCACAGAGGACAGTTTTCCAGTAGCTTGCATACTGTAGCACACTCAGGGTTATATAACCCAGAATGGCACTGCATAGCTCAGTTTGCTGGAGAATCTGGGCTGAGTCCCTCAGGGAAGTTACTAACCGCTGATGTGAATTGGAGAAGAACACATTACACCCCAGTGTAATTTGCTGTAAATAAATTCACTGGTAACATTGGAAAAGGTTGTGGAGACCTGATACCTTCACAATACTTACAGAAGAGGAGCTTACTTTTTTTGTGATTCTTTCACATCCGTCATCGTCAGACATCACCTGTGTGATTCTGTCTTTACCATGTGTGCGTGTCTGTGGATGTTATAATGCCTTTCAAGCATGACAGCGCCTCATGTTTGATTGCTGCAGCCGTGAATTCATCTGTGAAACGGCGTAATTAGTTGCCCTCAGCGCAAGTGTCGCTTCATAACATCCGGGACCCGGGGCCCGGGGCCCAAAACAGTTGCATAACCAGAAACGCCTAGGATGCTCGGTGAATTGCCTTGTGTCTCATAATTGGTCTACTTGAATAATGAGGGCATGTCTTGTTTTTGTCACTGCACACTAGGCACGGTGTCTGTCTTTACAAATCAACAGGAAATGCGCACGTGTGAATGGGGGAAAAGGGCTCACACACAAAAAAGAATTCAATGTGTTTCAGGAAGCCAGCTGAGTCAGACTTATTCCACTGTTCCTCGCTGATTTAGTCTTTTTATTTAGGTATGATTTATTTGTTAGACATCATTAAACTGTACTGTGCAGAGCATTTGATTATTTTACTATGAAGTGTAACTGGCTTTCCCTCTAAGATATTTTCTACATTTCCAAGAAAGCCCTTCTATCACAATGAGAATGTACTTGAAACTGCATTAAGTTATTGCTACTGATATTAGTAACAACAGGCAGTGGTGGGAGCACACAGGTGCTTCACTTCAAGCGGACTCTGAAGCTGTACAGTTTTGGTTTACACTCACTGCTTTTAGGTACAATATGTCAGTGTTGTGTTCACAGCTTTTTCCTTTTGCTGCCAAGAGGCCTATAATTTGTCATGTCATTACAAGTTATTGCAAAAGTATTGTGCTTAAAGAGTCGAGAGTTAAACGTAGATGCTTTTATGCATGCGAATAGCCACTTTGAGTGGTATATTATCATACATTATATTATTGGATTATTATTACCAATGCTGTAATGTGTAAACCACATTTTACTCTGGTTGCTCAAAATGGAGCTGTTTTCAAATACCTTACTGTATATATATTGCGTGGTAGTTTGTTCCTAAACAATGCATTTTACAAGCTCAAATGGTATGTTTTGTACTTCTTGTATTCGTCAGATAAATGTAGTGGAGTAAAAGGTACAATATAGTAGTAGTATATGTTGCATTAACATAAACAGTACTAATACCTCAAAACGGTATTTGTATGTTTCACAGTGCTAACATTTTGTTGGAGAGAGATCGTAGCAGTAGCATAATGCAGTACATGAAAGAATATTAAATCAATCTTACGAGAGATTAATAGTTTAAAGTATTTTAATAATTTCTGCAGTGCATAATTTGTTTGGGTGAAAACTTGAAAGTGATGATGTCTCTTCATCAAAGCTCATTTTTATTCAACATCTCACTCCAGCCTTTTAGAGAAGAGAGCATCACATGATCAAAAGATGTAAATAATACATCATATTATATTGCTTGTTAAATGAGCTGCAGTAACTCAGTGCTGTGTACGAGTACATCTTGGCCTGATTCAATCAGTTTCAGATTAGAACGGAATGCATTAAAGTTTCACAATGGCTTCATTTTCTTTCTTTCTGCCTGGTATTCAGAAAGCATGCGTTGATTACCTCACTTATCACAGGGACTGCATTTGATAAAGAAGTTTGCTCCGAAGATGTTTTTTTAATAGCTGTTTGCAAACCTGTGGGTGTTATCTTTGTGTCTTGGTAGGAAGATATCAGCCAAGACACACCACCAGGCTGTGGACTACAACATCTTCGAGGGCATGGAGTGCCACGGTGTCCCTGTCATCACTATCTCAAGAGGGAAAGTGGTCTATGGAGATGGGCGACTGAAAGTGTCACCAGGGCACGGCAAATTCATCCATAGAAAACCCTTCTCTGAATTTGTTTACAAAAGAATCAAGCAAAGGGACCAGGTCAGTCGAGCCCCACAAGTTTCATTACTAGAAAATAACATTAGTTAGTAAAATGTTACCATTCAACACTGGTATACTTAAACCACTTGCTCCATGTCTGTGGCCGAAATCACTATATTTGTTACTTGGTGCACAAAATTGTTTTTCAATGTCAAAAAAAAAAGAATTAAACAATATGTATAAATAGCATGTGCAATACTTACTTTAGTATTATTAAAGCTGCTAAGATCATTATTTTTATATAAAAAATGGATCAGATGACTTGTGAGCCACTCATAGTGGTGAACCTACAAAGAATTCTCACCTGACTCTGACTCTTTAGCTCTACAGCTTTGTTTTGTTCTTACCACTCTCATAAGATAATTTCAGAAAAGTCCTAAAACCCCACTTTCCAATCCAGCATGAAGCTGCAGACGGATAAAGTTAGCAACTAGCTGGTGAACATAGTACAGCTTTTTAATAATAATAATAATAATTTATTTGTAGAGCACTTTTCAAAAACAAGTTACAAAGTGCTTTAACATGTGTAAAGACAATAATACAAAAACAATACAAGATAAAAGCAAGAAAACATCGAAAAGACTAAAATACACGTTTTAAGAAAAATATAAAATAAGTAAAATAGAATAAAATAAAAGGGATAAAATAAAGTCAAATAAGATCGGAAAAGGCTCTCCTATAAAAGTATGTTTTAAGAAGGGACTTAAAAGAGTTCACTGACTCAGCCGACCTGATTTCCTCGGGCAGGCTGTTCCAGAGCCTCGGGGCCCTGACAGCAAACGCTCTGTCCCCTTTAGTTTTCAGTCGAGACTTTGGAACAGACAACAGACCTCTGCCCGAGGATCTCAAGGTACGTGCTGGTGTGTATGGGACTAAAACGTCAGAAATATAACAAGGCGAGAGGCCATGAAGAAAGTGATCAATAAAATTCAAGTCAATTCTAAAACATACTGGGAGCCAGTGTAATGAAGCTAAAATAGGGGTAATGTGGTCATATTTCTTTTTAATCCAGGCGTGATGAGATGAAGGCGTGTAAAATGGTCTCGGTGTCCTTAAAAGTTAACATGGATCGAATTTTTGCTATATTTCTAAGTTGATAAAAACATGATTGAACAAGCTTTGTGGTGTGCTGCTCGAAATTTAAATTGGTATCAAACCAGACACCAAGATTCTTTGCAACAGGCTTAATGTGATTTACTAGGGACCCGGCAGATGGCAAAACAAATACTGCCATCTGCCATATGACCAGGATTTCTGTTTTGTCTGAGTTCAGCTGGAGGAAATTATTTGACATCCATTTTTTAACTTCACAAAGGCAGTTGTTAAGTGAACTCAGCATTCCAGGGTCTTATGGTGGATCTGACGGGCAAGTACATTTGTGTGTCATCAGTATAAATATGAAAAGAAATACCATGTTTATGGATAATATGTCCAAGGGGAAGCAGGTACAAGGAAAACAAAATGGGTCCTAAGACCGAACCCTGAGGCACACCATATTTAACTGGACAGAACGAAGAGACATAGTTGTTTATAGAAACACAAAACTTCCTATTTGACAGGTAGGATGAAAACCATTCTAGGGCAGTACCAGTGATCCCCACCCATTGCCTCAGTCTGTCTAACATGATGTGATCAATGGTGTCAAAAGCAGCGCTAAGGTCCAGGAGTACCAGGACTGAGCACATACCTTCATCAGCAGACATTAAAAGGTAATTGGTGACTTTAAGCAGGGCAGTCTCAGTGCTGTGGTACTTCCTAAAACCAGATTGAAACTTTTCAAATAATTTGTTATTTTCCAGTACAGTGAGCAGCTGTTTGGACACAATTCTTTCTAGAATCTTTGCAATAAAAGGCAGTTTTGAAATTGGTCTAAAATTTTGTGTGAGGGAGGGATCTAAACCAGGTTTCTTTAAAAGTGGGTTCACGCAAGCCGTTTTAAAATAATCAGGGACACAACCAGTAAATAGGGAGCTGTTAAAAACAGAGATCAAATGGGGCCCAACAGAATCCATTACTTTCAGTAAAAACTTTGTAGGTATTACATCAAGTGGGCTGGAGGACACTCTCATTTTTGATACTGTTTTGAAAAGCTCAGACAAGTCGATGGGATAAAACTGCTTAAAACTGTCTTGTTGCTGGTGAGGAACCTCTGAGTAAGAGGCCGCGGGGGTAATAGAGGCTCTGATTGACACCACCTTATTGGTAAAATAAGATAAAAACAATTCACAGTCATCATTACTTCCAGCTGAGGCACGAGGAGGGGTTGGGTTTACCAGCTGATCCACAGTCTTAAACAGAAACCTGGGATTGTGTTTATGTGTAGTAATGAGTTCAGAAAAATAGTGCTTTTTGCTGGTGATAGCTTTATATTTACTGTACAGATGTGACAGTGGTATCTACCTTCTCATTTGACTCTCTATTTCCCAAAAATGTAAGGGAATAGAGAATGAATATACCAACTCTGAAGAGAGCTAGGGTTCAATGTATTTACTGATAATGGTAATCCATTATTACTTGTTCATAAAGTGAGCATCATAAGTGGAAAAATAGAGGACATTGAAATACTGCTCACATGTAAAGCCCCTTTCAGAGGACTGAAATTCAGATTTATGTTGAATTTGAAGCAACCAGATCCTGATGAGGTACTACACATAAAGGTCACTTAACCTTTCTTTCTGCTTTGTATTTGGCCTGCAGGTGGGGAAACCTACAGCTGTGATCAGAAAGCCCTATGAAGGCAAAGTCATAGCTGTATGAACAACTGACCTAGAACATGGCACTTGGAATCTCCAGCTGTGTTTCTCCAGTACAACGCAGAAGCTACCAAATTCAACACAAATGAATGCTGTTTCCCACTGATAAACCTGCTGTTAGTTGTTTCTGCATTTTTTAACATTCTAATTTTTAAAATTCTAAAATTTTTCAGCAAGTTATACATAAAGGTGGTTGTGTTGGTCTTTAGGTCAACTGTGAAGGTCAACACTGAGGTCAGTGCTCTGTCTGCAGATAATATCTTTGTTACATTTGTTCAGCTGTGTGAGGTTTCCAGTTCAGCTCTGCTTAGCACACAGGGCAGTAGAACCCAGTATACTGCTGAAAATTATATGTGCTCTGACATACATTACACAATCTAGTAATTCAGTGTAAAGAATAAAAATAGGGCTTTTACTGGGCATTTTATTTTAATTTTCAACCCTTTTTTTCCAAAACTTTTGTTGCCATTGGTAATTAAACTGATGTTTTTCACCCAAAAGTCTCCGTCCCTCGATGAAATACTCTCAACTGACATGTGTGAAAATATTAAGATTTTCTTTGCTGACCCAGATTGACTCTGTATTTGCATATTCAGCAGGATTGCAGATTATCATATATGCACTCCATCTATGCCCATGTATGGACTGTGTTCATTCCTTCCCTTGGTAAAAAGGTCTGTGGCTGTCACCGAGCATCATGTGGCAGCTTCCTATTGGGCTGGCATGCTGGCGTGGTATTATGCCACAGGGCCAGTTGAGACATAATGTGAGCTTATCAGGTTGCCACACGGGTCAGCGGCAGCGTGTGAGTCACAGAAGGCCTGCTCATCCTTGAGCTGTACCACTTCCTTCCTCTTGTCTCTGACAGTGGAAGGGATGATGTGGGAACGTACAGTCAGGAGTGTCTCTGAAAATGGTGAGATGTGCCCTGTTGGATTGTAATTGGAGTTCATAGCAGTAAATAACAAGGAAGAATGTACTGAAGCATTTTGAATATTAATTGAACTTTAAAAAATGGAGGTAATGATTCAAGTTAAATATTGAATCGCCATTATTCCGCTTGTGTAACTGAATGTCCATTTTAGCATTCATTTAAATTGGAATAGGTCATTGCCATTTTTAATTATACCACGTATGAGAGTGCACAATTGCATTTTTAAATACAAATTACACAAACAATCTGGTCTGGTCATCCAGAACAATTTGATGAGCCACAGTTTTTTCTTAACCAACTCTTTGATTGCTCTTTAAGTTAATTCAAATAGGAAATAACACTTTGATCATATCATAGACTACAAGGATAAACTTTAAAATAATTTTAGACTAGTGGGATTAAACCATATACATTGAATGAACAACAGCAATGTTATACTTTGAAAGGAAGTTGATGGGAAACTGATGTGAAGGAATTGAAATAAGAGCAAGTGTAGTTCCACTTTCTAACACCTGCGAGACGTTAATGCACAGTGACAGGGTGTAAGTGGACAGTGCTATTCAGTCTATTCAGTCTTAGATTATGTAAGCAAATGTCGCTGTGCTACACTCCACAGGCGAACATTACACATGGATGTAAAATACAGAATTTGTTTGGCGCTCTATTATTTAAGACAAATACCATAAGGTGCTTATAAATAATAGGATCGACTTCTACCCTTATGATTGCATAATTGTAAAGTTAAATTATAGTTATAATAGTATAGCCTGTTATGTCGTGTATTATGCTCACAGTTTGGGGTAAATTCTTCATCAAATACTATGTAATTTGTATTTAATGTCCCTGACACATGCAATGTAATGTCTAGTTGCTGAGTGCTCATTGAAGCTAACCTGAACTGAATCATAACCACATGATATATGGTCTGTAATTAGTTGGCTACTATCGATATGAAACTTTCATGTCAACTGGCAATGTCATATATCATGTAATGATATAAATGAAGTACTGTAGCATGCTGAATAACACTGATGCAGCACAGGTAAAGATGAATAATGAGGCAGAGTTTTTGAGCAGCATGTTTATTGTTAAATAATAATACATATATATATATTATCCCGTGCAATATAATATAGAAAAGTATCTATATATGGAGGTCATTAAAAGCAGACTGTAATCTGGGTAACATCAGGTCTGTGGTAGAGCTAATGGCAAATACGACTGTATTGTCTGCATAAAAATGGAAAATAAATATTATTAGAAAATAGCAGCAGGCCATTATTGATCCTTGTGGGACACTTCTATCAACCATCTGCGGTCTTGATTGGAAACCACTTTACCAGACTTTAACTTTACCAGACTCTACCTACTTATCTAACAAAATATTAACATCGACAGTTTCAAAAATCGACAGCATCAAAAAATATTGTCCTCACCACGACGGTAGAATTTTCTTATGTTATCGTACGCTTCCTTATTCACAGAATAAAAAAAATCATGCAGCAGAAACTTCCTCACACGATACTTTGTCGATTCTCCCTGGGCCTGAAGAGCAGAGGGCACCAGAAATGTGGCTGAAAAGAGAAGACATTTCACCCTTATGCAATATACACCAAGATTTCCAAACATAACTATTGCTATACAGTAATACATACCTTAAAATAGAGTGATGTGAGGCTGCAGATGTTTGTCTTCCTCCCCCTTTTCGATCTCTTCCTCAGGATTTTGGAATGCAAGTATTCCACTCTCTCCTCCGTGGCAGTGGAGAAGAATCGCTCACAGACCATCAGCCTGAGCTGGGCCACTTTGGCAGCCACAAGAGCCATAATAAGCAGAGTGAGCAGGATGGCAGCCAAAGGAACTACGGAGTTATAGAGCAGCAGCTTGGGTTTAGGAAGACACTTCTTCTCAAACAGGGTCACAGAGTACGAAAAGTCTTTTTGATGGTTTTCTTCAACAAATGGTATACCTATTAAAGTTGCATTCCCCTGAGAAGATAAATAAAGAAGTATTCAGTGGCTGTCTGACTGGCTGGAACAAATGCCATACATGCAGAAATACTTACTTTGATGCTCATTAACAATGGGACGTGGAATGGCTCCAGCTCAGATAATTTTGTTGTTATAATATCAACAAAACAGTACAATAAGGCGTCCACAGTTACAAATATGACCCAAGATACAAAGTGGGAGACAACTGGAACACAAAATTTCAGGATAGCTCTCCCGTCTCTGGTGGTGGGGCGGGCAGAGGGGACAGCGGTGTACAGCTTCTCTTCCTCTGGTGTGAGGGGGAGGACATGGGGCTTTCCTTCTGCCTTCTGCTTCTCATCAAAACTAACAAATTTGCTGCTGATGAACCTGTTTTCATACTTCATGTCATTGCAGAATTTTTTTATGTACAGCGCTATAAACATCATGAGCACGAGGAAGCTGATGGCAGGAAACAGACGCTCGGTCAAAGAGGAGACTGTATTCATAAGGGACTGTACATACTTTACAGTTTCATTCAGCTTCTGCTCTGCTTCTGTGAGTTTCTCCCTGAACTGTTCTGATTCCAGTCTGTGTGAAACCTTGAGTTGGGAGTCAAGGTTCAAAACCCCCAAGTCTGTAACCCCCTTGAGCATATTTCCAAGCCACTTCAGCATCTTCACATAGTTACCGAATGGAGCAATGATGGCTGCTTTCTTGGCCTTCAGGTTGCAAATCATGCTCCTGACCAGGCCTGTGAGGTTCTCCAAGGTGTTGCGGATATTTCTAAGAACCACTAAACTGGTCCCAGCAGTCAGGAGCAGGTTCCGACTCTTCTTCATGAAAACAGAGATCACAAATAAAGTCCCTAAGCACCTTACTCTCTTTGATAGGAAGAGGGCAACTGTCATTAGTGTCCCAAAGCAGACAGCAATCCCTCCAGCCACAGCTAGCTCATAGTTCAGGGTGGAGAGGAGGTACAGGAGTAGCAGGGAGCTGAGCAGGAGGCTGAAGAAGCTACAGGTGAGGAGGAGGATGAGAGTTATTCGAAAGCCATCCCCTTTACCAGTTATGAAAACATCCAACGCCAGATGACCGATATCCTCGAGGCTCTGTTTTATTGCAGTCCATGGTAGTAACATCCTGGATATTAAAGAAGATAGTGGGAGGGGGGGCAGCACTGGAGAGCAACAGCTACAAAAAACAGAGATTAGATGAATAGATAATTGCAAAAGATTTACAACATTTATGTTCAACTATATGGCTTAACCTTTCTGTCAATTGAAATCTGCTATATATTTATATGAATATTAACTGAATGAAATCACAAAGTACAAACCTTCTGTGTAGAGCCTGACATCTATTCTCATGCATGTATCCTTAAATACAGCTAAAACAGGAACCTTTCTGGTCCCTCAAACCACAGTCATTCGTCATTCCCGGTCATCCCTATTTTTCAACCAAAAGCAGAAGCACACAGAGGCTGACTGTTAACAGTGTGTGAAACTTGATTATGCTTTTGGTGGTAAAAATCAAGTATTTTATTGAGGGTTGCCAGATTATGTGCCATGAATAAATTCAGATTACTTGGTGTGTACACCTTAAGATGTTCCAACTACAGCTAACTTGATAAAAGCTCTGAAATAGCTTTTAAAGGAAGGAGGTGAGAGTAGACTCCTCTTCACAGCAATAAGGAAACGTAAGGGTTAGGATTTATAAGGTTATTTCCACATTGTTAAATTGTAAAGTCATTGAATTACACCATAATAATCAAGGTTGAATGATTTGCCTTCAAAGCAGCTATCTAATTCAGATCACAACTTTTAACAGGAAAATATAATAACTTGTCTTGACGTCAGCAGCTTCACCCTGAAATGCTGCATGTGAAAAGAGTTGGTGCGTAGGCTTTTGAAAAGCCTGTAAAACTGTTACATACAATAACTTGGTAAAAGAGTCAAAGGCTGTTTTAATGTAGAGTTCAAACAGAAAATCTTTGAAATCAAATAAAAAACAATCAAACAATTATGTTGATTTATAATTTCAATCCAATCACCTCACTGCATGTCAAACACCGAGGGTTACTTGTTTTTTGCCATGCTAGCTTCATACATTTAATTCAAAGGTAAACAGAAGAGGAGCTGTGCATAAAAACCTCATAAAAATTAAAACCACAAGAGCAATAGTGCAAACGAATAGGAAAGTTAAATGTGGACTCTTTTCATCAGATCTCTCTCTTCTAAAGGTGTACTAGTAAATGAACTAATATCAGATTATGATATTGATTTATTTTGTCTTACTGAAACCTGGCTGGGTGATGGAGAATATGTTAGCCTAAATGAATTCACCCCTCCCAGTCATATTAATACTCACATTCCTCCAGGCACAGGCCGAGGAGTTCTGTCTGATAGTGCTGTAGCTAAATTTAAGGAGCTCTATATTCATTATCAAGTCACAAAGTAACAGAGGACTCCTATGCTAATTTCAGTCCCTCCCAAATCGATCATCTTGTTGATAGTACTGCAGGCTTGCTGCAAATTAAAGCAAATAGCGCGGAAACTTGAGAGGAATTGGCGTTCCACCAACTGGAAAATTCTCTCTCAGTAGTTACGACTTCATGAGCTTCTTTAATGATAAAATTCTAACTATTAGAAACAAAATTCACCAAGACCAGCCCTCAACTGGCACTGACTTATCTCCAAACTCAGGAACCTTAGAAACAACTGTAAAACTAGATATATGTTTAGACTGCTTTGCTTCCCTCAATCTTTACCAACTAAAATCTTCAATCATCAATAATATCAAAACATCATCAATAATATCTTCATCTAAACCATGAACCTGCCTCTTAGACCCCATCCCGACTAGGCTGCTTAAAGAAGTTTTACCCTTAGCATTTCTCTACTAGATACTGTATGATCAACAGGCTATGTACCACAGTACTTTAAAGTAGCTGTAATTAAACCTCTTCTGAAAAAGCCCAACCTTGATCCAGATGTTTTAGCCAACTATAGACCTATATCTAACCTTCCATTTCTCTCTAAGATCCTGGAGAAAGCAGTCGCCAAACAGCTGTGTGTAATTCTACATAGCAATAGTTTATTTGAGGATTTTCAGTCAGGATTTAGAGCTCATCATAGCACAGAGACAGCACTGGTGAAAATTACTAATGACCTCCTAATTGCATCAGACAAAGGACTTGTCTCTGTACTGGTTTTATTAGATCTTAGTGCTGCATTTGATACCATTGACCATCAGATCCTATTACAGAGACTGGAACATTTCATTGGCATTAAAGGAACCGCTCTAAGCTGGTTTAAGTCCTATTTATCAGATCGATTCCAGTTTGTACATGTTAACGATGAGTCCTCCATGCACGCCAAAGTTAGTCATGGAGTTCCACGAGGATCTGTGCTCAGACCAATCCTCTTCACTTTATATATGCTTCCTTTAGGCATCATTATCAGGAAATATTCCATAAACTTTCATTGTTATGCAGATGATACTCAGTTATATCTATCAATCAAGCTAGATGAAACTCATCAGTTAGCTAAACTTCAAATGTGCCTTCAGGATGTTAAAACCTGGATGACCTGTAATTTTCTAATGTTAAACTCAGATAAAACTTAAGTTATTGTTCTGGGGCCTATGCACCTCCGTGACGCATTATCTAAAGATATAGTTTCCCTTGATGGCATCGCCCTGGCCTCCAGCACCACCGTGAGGAATCTTAGATACAGTATCTTTGATCAGGACATGTCGTTTAAGTCTCACATTAAGCAAATTTCAAGGACCATCTTTTTTTCACCTACGTAATATTGCGAAAATCAGGAACATCCTGTCTAAAAATGATGCAGAAAAACTAGTCCATGCATTTGTTACTTCTAGCCTGGATTACTGCAATTCCTTATTATCAGGCTACTTGAAAAAGTCCATTAAGACTCTTCAGCTGATCCAGAATGCTGCAGCACGTGTTCTGACAGGAACCAGGAAAAGAGACCACATTTCTCCTGTTTTAGCTTCTCTGCATTGGCTTCCTTTAAAATCCAGAATAGAATTTAAAATCCTTCTTCTCACCTACAAAGCTGTTAGAGCCCGTGTCCACCAAAGCGTTTTTAACAGCTTTTTTTGTTTTATGTAAAGCACTTTGAATTACCTTGTTGTTGAAATGTGCTATACAAATAAACTTGCCTTGCCTTGCCTAGCTGAAAACGCCACCTGCTCTTCTGAAAACGCATAGCTGGGAGCGCTAGGGTGCGTTTTGGAGGCACAGTGTTTTTTTTCGAGACACTGTGGTTGCTATAATACATACTTTCCGTGGAGGTGATGTGCTGCAAGTAGGCTAATTTAACTGAATGTAAAAATGTTACCACAAAGTAGGGTAGGCTTACTTGCTCTGGCCCTTGCTCTGCATGAAGAGAAGGCTGAAACATGAGAGCACAGACTGTCCGTACGTGCATTCATGAGATTTTGCGGGCGAGGAAACACCTCGGCGAGTTGGCACATCGTTTCGTTCAAGGTCGGATGTGCTCGGTGTGGTGTTTGTCCCGCCCCTCCTGCACTGTGATTGGACGGTTGGGTAAAAAGTGACAGTGACGAGCGCAGCTCCACGCTCCGCTAGTTAGGGCTGGCTCAGGTGAGTCCTGAACCATCCCTTAGTTATGGTGCTATAGGCCTAGACTGCTGAGGGATCTCCCATGATGCACTGAGCTCCTCTCTCCTCTTCTTTCTCTCCCTCTGTATGTAACCTCATCCCATTAATGCATGTTACTAACTCGACTTCTTCCCTTTCCTGTTGTCTTGTGCTTTCTCGTCCCTCTCCTCTCTCCTCCTATCACTTCCTGCAGGTGTTTCTGGTTCTGGAGCTGTGGAGTCTGGATCTGTAGTGTTGCTACACTCTCTTTCTCTCTGTTCCTCTCTTGCCCTCTCTCTCTCTCTCACCCCCAACCGGTCGAGGCAGATGGCCGCCCACCCTGAGCCATATGGTTCTGCTCGAGGTTTCTGCCTCTTAAAAGGAAGTTTTTCCTTGCCTCTTACGCCTAGTGCTTGCTCTTGGTGGGAACTGTTGGGTTTCTGTAAATATCATCACTGAATACGGTCTAGACCTACTCTTTTATGAAAAGCGCTCTGAGATAAGTGTTGGCTCTAAATAAATAAAATTGAAATGAATTGAATTGAATTGAATGGCATGGGATGACAATGACTAAACCTCCATCCAGATGTTGCAAATGAAAATTCAAATGAATGCACCTTATCATCTAATACCGTTATGTGATTATTAGGAGTTGGTTCGTGGAGTTAAACCGCTGGTGCCACTAATTAAGAAACTGTGAAAACGTAGAAAAACAAAAATATGGCATTTATGTTTTTTGTTTGTATTAATCTGAGGAATGTTACAATCTCTTCATCTCACACATAACACATTTTCTGCATTTCCACTTGAAAATAAAAACTGATTGATGGAATCCCAGTTTGTGACAGTGTCACTTTAATCAAGACTGAAATGTCTCAACATTTGTTGATGGTTGCCATCAAATTGTGTACAGACATTCATGGTTCCCAGTCGATCCCAACAACTTTGGCGTTCCCCTGACTTTTTCCACTAGAGCCACCATTTGGTTTTGAATGAAATGTCTCAACAGTTATTGAATGGGTTGCCATGAAATTTGGCACAGACATTTATATCCCCATCGGAATGAAATGCAATCACTTTGGTTATGCCCTGACTTGTCACGTAGTATCATCACCAGGACAAACGTTCAATTTGTCCAATACTGTGGTTTATAACAAAAAACCCTGCTAATCTAGTGATTTCTTCTGATTAGTGCTAATAAGCAAATGTTTGCATGTTAACACACTGAACAAAGATTTGAAAATTGCTAAACATTAGCATGTTAGCTTAAAGCACTGCTGTGCAGCATCAGAATCTCAAGCATATTGGTGATTAGTATTCACAAATGCACTGAATCAGATGTAGTTTTTGGAGTCAGAATTCATCTGCCTCTGCTGTCAATTTTGATGGGCTTCTAACAAGCCTTCTAACTTTAATAAAGTGCAATTTTCACAGTTACTTCTTATATACTTTCTCTACAGTTTCTATAGTAAGAATGTTACACTTATGTGTATTAATGTGTTAATTATATCATCACTCAACACTTGGCATCAGTGTAATATCAATTTTTTATTTTTAATTTGAAAAATAACTTACATAAATCTCTGTACTCAACCATACTTAGCCAAGACATAGCCTTGGCATTAACACATTGCACCAAAAAGAGAAAATTAAAAGGCATTCAAAAGGATAAATAACATATGTCTTCGTCATCATGTGAGGCATTTTTCCTGTTCCAAAAGGGTCTTATCAATCTATCCATAGTAGCTTGTTTATTCAAATTCTGACATCTAAAGGTATATACAATGAAAAAAGAAATGAAAATATATATTGTAGCTGGTTACAGCAACAAGGTTTTTTTGGACATTAAAACGTAGTATTATATGGAAAAGAAATAATGCCTCAGTTCAATTTCATTCAGACATACTGCAACTATAAGTTTCATATTCTTCCCAGACATGAGAAGTATTTATAATTACTAAAAATAGAAAATAAAAATAAACTGGTCTTGGCTTTTAAATAAAACTAACAAAAATATAGTAAATTAATTTCATTTTCATTAAAACAAGAAAAAAAAACATTTTCTGTGGCAATATCCCTTGTTATTTGAACTTGTGATTAGCTCATCTTCACAAACAGTGCCTGTAAAATTGGATCACAGCAACATACATCTCTTGCATGTTTGCTGCCTCTTGATTAGGTGTAGACCTCTTGCTGTACCAATACAGATAATTTTTGCATGTTCGTCAACAATACTGAAATAAAATACACTTGCAACCACAACTGTTTTGTCAACCTCCATTAAATATAAAATATTTTCCGTGTCACTTTTTTTTCTCAAAAACCTGAAAGAAAATATGATCTTGGGGGTGGAATGTTTTTGTTAAAATTTCAATAATTGGCCGTGAAAGACCAATAACTAATTTGCTGTAGAGTTCAATTTAAGGTGAGGGAGAAAAGTAATGAAGTTGACATGCACTGTACAAGAAACTGCAAAAAGTCCAAATATCATCTTTATCAAAACATGCTGAGTTACTTTAAGGTGTGCCCAAGCCATGTTGCAGAAAATCTTTTTCAACATGCTTGTTAAACAAATCAAATCCAAAATAAAATACATACTGAAACAATACAGAACTGTAAAATAACCAACAGTCCTAAAATCTGGACAATAGGGGACTGAACAATGGTAGCAATGAATAGTACAATGAGAAGTACCCTGGGACAAGGAAGAAAAAGAGAAACATGTACAATTTGCACATAATGTTTATCTTTATAAGGCATGAGCCTTTTACAATGAAATAAATCATTTACATTTATTTTCATTATCACTTTGTCACATAAACATTTTCTGTTAAATAACTCCAAAAGTTTCCTTTAGGTTTCCCTTATCTGCATGTCTGCAAAACACAGACTCCTGAATGGTCTAAAGAATGATAAACAATGTATTTTTTTTTAATCACGATGTTGCATTCACTCCCCTGAAAACCATGCACTAGTGAAATTTATCTTTAAAAATAATATAAATTGTTGAAAATGGCTGATCTGTTTTATCTTCTGTCTTAATCTTTTTTTGCAAGTTGCAGCCTCAAGAAAATAATTTTCTTTTTTTTAAATTCTGCTTAATTTGTGTCCATGCAAATGAACTAAAAAGGAAAGAAAATATCTTTTTCTCATTTAATTTTCATACAATACATCAACAGAGAAAGAATGATGGTAGATTGTACATCTTTTCATGGGGTTTGGAGCTTTACTGTATATTCCGGAGTGTTGATGGTAGCCACTTCAATATTGCGTCTGATTAATTTTGGAGGAGCATGATTTCGTCTTTCTGGTGATTTACCTGTTCTAGTAGTTTGATTCAGTACAATAACCTAGATTATGCAGGGCATTTCTTTGGGGGTTTGGGGGAGTGTGGACATAAGCCGGGACATACCTCACCCAAATTGATGGTCTCCAAAACTCCATCTACACCGCTAGGTCTGTTGGCGTGGCGTGACCAAGCGTCTGGTTAGAAACACTGTCACCTCCTTCAGATACAAGTACATTGACATTAAAAGAAAAAAACTAATGAAAACAAAAACAAAAACTAAAAATCAAAACAAAACATTTATTTTTCATTCGAAAAGGGCTTCTGCAGAACCCGTTTAGCGGTTCCCAGTACTGACCCCCATGGCTTCGAATTGGATGAAAACCTGGAACTGACAGATTCCTCGTGCTAAGGAGTTCATTCCAGCTTCCTCCAAACAACAACAACAACACCTGGCAATCCCAGCCACCAGGAGCTTGCAACACGCTTCGCCACGTGCACAATGTGCGCAACGTTTTTGCTTAAAACACAGGATCACGTTTGCACCCCTAGAAACAGGCTCAGAAGACACAACATCAAGCATGCAGTGTAACCGGGGGGCGTGTCCTGTAATCGCATCACTGGCTGCTACAACAACGCTATCAGTCCACACGCTGCTATGATCGAGAGAAACTGTCCAGAGAGGATTGGGAAGCTCTTCTTGTCAGTGGGGCCAGAGTAGGGTCCACCAGTGAGGAAGGAGGAAACAGCTTGAACCAGCCAATCACCATGTTGGACAGGTCCAGCTCATCTAACAGTATCTGGACTGCTCCCATGAATGATTTATGGTCCATACGTCCATAGTCGCCCCAAACAATGACCTGCAGTGAAGAACACAGGAAGACATTAATGAAAAGGATAAGACAAGTTCAAGCAGTGAGAAATTAAGTTGTAGTAAGACTGATTTGCTGAGTTTCTGCTTGATTTACTGTGACACCTTTCTTACCTGTAAAACCTTCCCTCCCGGACTCTCCTCAAACGGCAGTTGCTGCTGGTAAAGAGGATCCAAGGTTTTTCTTGCTACTTTTGTTTTCTTTTTGGCTATGCAGACTCCATTTTCCAAAAGGTAGACCTTTACATATGGTGCTGAGAAGAGAGGAGAGGGGAGGAGGAAAGAGGAGAGGTGAAAATATTTTTATCCCAAAGCAAAGAAATGTGCTTTTTCATCCTTTTTATTCACCATATCTCAACATGTGCATTGAATGTATGAGGTAAGTGTGTATCTGCCTATGATAATGACAGTGTGAGAGCTTAAATTACCTGGCAGTGCCTTGGAACTTTGTTTTCCCACAAGGCCACGGGCTCTGATGACCTCCACCTCCAGCGCTCCTTTCTTCTCCACCATACCAATCTGGATGTCACCTGAGTAAGTATATAAAAATTAGTAAGGTATAACTATACTGAGTATATAAGAAATAAATCATGTATGTCTTACAAGATGATTAACTATGCCTCATGAACAGTGCAAAAAGCTTTTCCAAGGATCACCAAGGTACAAATTTATCAAATGCATGAATTCTTGTTCTCACCCATTGGTGGAGTAGCCAATGTCTGTCGTCCGACCAACTGGGCAGGGCCGAGACCATCCAGGAAGTCACTGAACTGAGCATCTGAGGAAAGCCTCACACCAGGGAAGATGAGACTGAAACAGAGCAAGACTCAATGGTTACCACAGAGATGAAAGGTACAGTTTTGTTGATGTAAGACAAGGCAGTAGTTGAGTTAATGGCTGTAGCCAATTAAATGTCATGAGGATTAGGAAGAGTAAAAAACGATATATCTAATCAAGTTTTGAATTGTGTGCTGCGTATGTATAAACTGCTCTCAGTAGTGTGAGTCCTTGTGTCCTTACTTTCCCTCAGAGCTGTAGCTGTTCATGCTGCCGTCCGTGGACTCCCGGCTGGCCTGCCGAGTCATCCGGCTCCTCATCTCCACCGCCAGGCCCGTCTCTGTACTCCTCTGGATCGTGCTGCGTAACTTCTTACCTCCCGCTTCTGCACACAGAAGGACACACGCAAAGAAAGAGAGAGAGGGAGAGAGAGAAAAAGTGATAGAGACTGTTAATCCTTAACACTGAACATTTTGTGACTCATACAGCGAGGTGCGTTCACATGGATTATTACTGACATACTGCTTTCATTGGCTCATAGAAAAATCAATCCAGAGGGAACTACACTCAGACTATAAAGATCCAGTGTCTGCCCCCCATCCCTACTGATCCAAGACGACAGCTGACTACCCCCATTAGCCCCACCGCTGCTCCTCTCCACCCAGCCTCCCTGACAGCCTGCGTGTGAAGCCACGTGGCTGCGCCTGCGGCAGACGTACACATACCAACACAAAAGTATGAATGCTCTGCCACTAGACACACGTCTGGCAACCAGCACACACAGTACACATACACACACTGCATCGCTACTCATTTCATTTCCCATTAGTAGAGAGAGGCAAATTCTCCTTTGTTATGAGCATATAGAGAGAGATACAGCAAAGACAGGAGGTTAAAATGAAATCAGACATGTTCCCTTTGTGTTAGATACTCTACTCGACATTTAGCCATTGAGCTCTGTTAAACTGGTATTTTAGCACCTGATCTCTATGTTTAAACATGAATTCTTGGTCAAAGACTCATCATCCAAGCACTACTGAATGTTGTTGTACTAGTTGTTGTTGTGGAATCTCTTTTCCTTATCTGTAATCAAATTCTTGCAGAATGAGGGCTTCACGTTATTTCCCAGATGTCGATTAATCGCTGCAAAGCCAGCCAGGAAAGTAATAACAATGAGTTATCATCAGTTCACTGTTTGCATCCCCAAGGTGCAAATGATAAACAATCGCCTATCCATAGACCTTATGCTATTTTCACATAATAATGTCTCTGTTTGTCTGGATGAATACAGTATTCCTACTGCAGCATCATCATGGGCCCTTTGCGGCACCTGCTGTCTTCACTCTCCCTCCTCCTCTCTTCTTTGTCTCATTAGAGGGGGAGCTGAGGAGAAGAGAGATGATCCAGTGTCCTATCTCACACAGGCATAAACGGACATGAAGCCTTTCAGCCTTCAAATCTCAGTTATTCAGCTGGTTTCCGCCTCCTCTTCCTGCTCTTCACACATTACAATAGAGAGGAAGCCACAGAGGTCGTCTCTGACGTCTGCAGCAAACCGCTGCTTGTAAATCTCTTCAGATGCTATCATTCAACATTAAAAACACATGATTTTCAAGCAAGGTTTAATAACATTACATGAGTTGCTACGACCAAAGACTGCTAAAATGTTCCCACTGCAAATTGTAAAAGACTGCCATAGACTTTTAAGACCATGACTCTGAAATCCTGTCCACATACATACATATCACATTCATATATAGTATGTTTCTATTTTATAAAAGAAAATATCCACACACCTGAATTTAAAGTAATGGCAGATGAGGTAAATGTGTCAAAGACATGTGCAATATCAACACCGGTGGCTGCCAAACACTTTTGTAAAGTATCTGTCAAGCATGAAGCAGCAGTGGCCTAAAATCTGGCTTGTCACCAGAAGGTCACTGCCCTCAAATTTCGGCCGTGCCAGACAGGAAAAGATAATGAGAGAGTCTAGTGGAGCTGATCGGCGGCCAACAGTGGAAGTGTGAGTACAAGTGTGTGTTTGTGTGTGTGTGTGAAGCTGTAGCTAAAAAAAGCCGGTGTGATCTGGCAAAAAAATACTTAAAAGGTATAAAAGAGAAAATCTTCTGCTTTGCAAATACATGACGTATTGTATTTCTCTTTAAATAAATCCCCTGCCACTAAATTAGGAACTGATGAGAATATCTTGGGAGGCATAAATATAATCACATACAGTAGGCGTCATCACTACTGTTCAGGAAATTTGAAGTGATAGTCATGGGACAATGTTGTATTCCTAAACTAAAAAAAACACTGCTACCCACCAGATACTAAACAATGATTCATTCCAGATACTAAATCCTTTGTTTCCATTCAATCAAGAAGAAATGAGACATTGGTTAGACAAGTGTGAGTAGAATCAGCAAACAGGTTCCTATAACCACCACTGACGGCGGCAGCAGCAGCAACAGAAGCAGTATGCGTATTTTACAACATACTGCTGGATGATAAATTCACTGCTCTTGAGATCCAGGCATATATATAAACTTTAAGTTAACGTTAATTACTTCATATTATAGTACACACAGCTCAAGCATCATATTATTATCCTAACTGAACTAAACTGTCATCCTAATTATACTAATTACATCTCTCAACCTGCTCCAATTCTCCCTACAATCAGTCTGTATCCTCTCTCTAATCCTAAATCTAGCTCCTTCCTCTCTGTGCTCCCTCTGTTTAAACAGTACTGCTGTCCCACCACACGCCATCAGCTGCTTCTGTGACATTTCCCCAGATGTCATCTTACCTCCATCTTCCTCATCGAAGGAGTTCATGCAGGGGAAATAGACAGCCAGTGCTTCAAACGATGCAGACAGGCTCATCTTGCTTTGGGAGCGCTGGATACGCATCCCAGGAGCCGCAGCAGAGGTATCATGGCTCTGCCTGCCCATGGTGACCGGCGGTGGTCCTTCTCAATGCGGTGAATCGGATGCACAAGACGTCAGCTTTGCCTTCTCTAGCTGATCTTACTGTTAAAGGTTTAACAAATTAACTACAATCTAATCAGTTTGATGCATTCCTAAGACCAGTAGCAGAAGACTCAGTAGGAGATCAGGTCTGTTCTATCATCTAGTTTGTCCCTAGATGCTCTGTAGACTGCATCTTAGGAAGAGCTTCAGAAAAACGTTGCTTTAGTAGCCAAGTCTTGTGCTGTCTGGTTGTGACGTTCCTGCTGCACCTCTTTGTTTGGGGGGGAGGGGAGAGAGCTGCATCGCGCTCCACCAATCAGCGAACCAGGCTGCTCAGGCGCACCTCGGCTGGCTCTGCGGGTGAACGAGCTCTACCCAGAGATACTGTGCAACCCTCCCCAGTCCGTTTCTCACCAATTTTTTTAACCTCTTCTTTTCTTATTTGCTTTCAGCTTTTTCTCCCTCTGCTTGCTGTTTTGTGTCTTTTGTGCTATTCATCACACTTATTATCCTTTTCTCTCCATCCCTCCCTCTCCCCATCTTATCCAGAGGCCGGTGAATACAAGCTGTCATTAGGTCTGCCAACAGCCCTGCTCCTCGGGCTTTGGCCACATGACCATCACTCAAAGTTCACGTGCCGGACTCTCTCGTCTAGGACTACTATACCACAGCTGTGTTGTGTTGGGAGGAATTTATTTTGATTTTGCTGGCTGTTGATCATGATCTTATTCATGTTCCACAGCCTCTATGACACAGCTATGTTGTGTTACGAGAAATTCAGTTCCCCTTGATCAATCACAAGCCACACTGTCAAACAATCAGACAAGTTCTTTGTTTGAATTAGGTCAAACTTACCTAAACATGAACCTTTTTTCAGTCTTTTTCTACCATTTTTGGACACTCTTTTAAACAGTCCAGAGCAGAAAGACATAACAGTGGAGCTAAAACAAAAGATTTCTTCTCCGGTGGTCCCTGAAACTGATAAATCTGCTACTGGCATGGTGTGTAAGGGCTAACAAGTAAAGCAAATCTATGGCTTTAAAGTAAACTTCAGCCCCTCTGCTCACAGTCACTACTGCAGCTTGGTAAAAAATGAAGTCAAACTGTGCTGCTTTGACACATTACCAGAGAACCAACTGTAGTGTTGTACTGAACATGTATCTCGCAGAATAAACACTGCACAAGAGAATTACGGTGCTACTCTTCACCATAATAAATATAGCAAGCTCCCTGTAGTGTTATAGCTGAAGCAAAAGTTCCACTCTAAGAGACACTGCAACCTACTTCCATAAAGAAGTCTCTTAATACATGGCATCCATTTGCAGGTTTCATCTAGGTCAGCGCAGCCAAAAAACAACACTTCATATTTACAGCTAGGGGGAAATTGGACAAAAGACACACAATTACAATACAACCAATTGGGTCATTTTTAATGGACCCTCTAGGAGTCTTTCTTTATGAAAGTATATTATTTAGAGCTCCTGCTAACTCAGACATTAACCTACAGATTGTGTATATTTTATTAAATAAAAAACAAATGTAGCTCATCTAAAGGAGAAGTTCTGTTTTTGAGAAAATCATGTGTATTTTGAAGGTTTTTAGCCATATTAGCTGCATGGTCCTTGGGATGGCCAAGTGATGGTGGTCCATCACTTTAGTCGAGATATCTCAGAGGTCCCTCAGAGGATGAAGCCTGGCTTTGCCATACCATGACTGTTCTTCCAGCACCACAGCAGGTTGACATTTTTGGTTTTTAGTGACATGTCTTAACAACTACTGGATGGAATAGTACTAAATGTGACATCCCATGGTGCCCAAAGAATGATCTGGTGATCTCCTGGATGAACACTGTCTATTCACTTTAGGATATGTTGAAAGATTGCTAACCCCTACATCAGGATTGCAAATGTGCTCTTAACATATGGTAGCAACAGGAGATTCTACTCTTGTTAGCATTTCAGTTCTTTGCTTTTCACTCCTGAAATATCTATCTAATCTATAGCAACAGGAGCTAAGTGATGAGATTCTAAAACTATGGCCTGATAATTTCATTGTTTTTGTCTCTAACAGGCTTTCTTTTTCATGATATTTCACAACACAGATGGATGTATTGATAATATCTCAATTACAAACATTATTGATATTGAAAGATTACAAGACTTTGGTTGAGATGTAGCATAAACTAGCCTACAACATGGAATTATCACAGCAGCTGATCAAATTAATTAACAAAAGAAAATACCAGATTCTTTCACATGAATTTATCACTCCTCTGCTGAAGTCACGGCTAATGCGTGGCAACAGTAGATGGCACATATGTGTTACTTGCTTCAACTTTCGCACCTTTGCCCCAATTTATTCTTACCCACTGTACATTGGCAGAGAGAAAGAAAGAGGTATGTCAGTATGTTTCACTGTGATACTCCCACTACACATGTAATCCCGACACCTGGAGGGAAAAAACGAGGTTAATTACAGTCTTCACAAATCTGTTCAACACAGCACGTGGATCTGTGTTCAAGGATGGAAATAATGTGTACCTCACATGAAAAGCCGAAAGGAAACTTTAATTTGTCAACAAAATAAATGCCTGAAGAAAAGTAAGAATCTAGTTCTCTTCGTAAGTGCATGATAACATGTTAACTACTGTACTTTAGTTACATAAGATTGTTAATTACAAGTGAAATGAATGATGTTTTAAGAGAAGTTCATACATCACTAATAGAAGGTATTTTTCATGAATGTGGAATCTCCATTTTAGGCCATGAGGGTACTCTCTGATTTCACAACACTTCTACAACACTTGACTTCTACAGATTAACATTAACGCACACTGTACAACATATCTGGTCTCACTCCACTGTGACAAACCAACATACACAGTGACCACACAACTGGAAATCACAAGCACCTCAGAAGGCAGGAATCTTGCCAGTTCTACTACAACAATAAAATAGTGTAATATCCCAGACATCATATGTAAGGTCTGTCTGGCAGGCGGCAAGGATCACAGGTGGAAGCCTTCGGACGTCTTTGTGATTGATAAGGCCAGGCCTGGCCAAGCGTCAGAGGATGACTCTGGCCCTACAAACTGTAAACACAGCTTAATGGAGGGCTCTAACGCCTGGCCCTCACGTGCACAAATGTAGGCAAACACACACATATCAGTACTTAAATGTGCACACACCGGGGCTCACACCATTACATGCACAATGACAAACACTCTCTCAGTTTACATTCCCTACTGCCTACCTTGATGCAGGCCAGTCCTGTAGTCTGTAAATGTAGTTTCCCCTTTTGTTTCTAGCTCAAATATGATGCGCGTTATCAAGGGAAATAGCTTGAATTACAAAATAAGCAATGATATACATTTTTATATATAATAAAATACTTCTCGCCCAAGCATGTACACACTCTGTGCCATTCACTTCACTCATAAGGTTCGCACCTTCAGTGGGAGGTGTGAGGGGCATATGTGAAACGTGAAATGCAGGAGGTGTAGCAGTGGGAGCAGTCCATCCCCTGGCCGCCACCCTCCGCTCTACACTCCACACTGACAGTATAACAGATGGAGAGCTAACGAGAGAGAGAAAGGGGATCTAAATACTGCCAAGCCTTATATGTGTATTTGATCTGGATAGAAAGTGCTGACATCACTTCAGCTGACTTTTTATATCTCACAGTCATAACAAACTAACGTGATATGTAAAATTGAAAATTGCAACACAAACATGTCACCACTGCATTTTTACATCACATACTGAAAGAGGAAATACTTGTGTTTTAAACTGAAACATCATACTCACACTCCATGACTGAGCTGACCACTGTATTTTGTGTGCATGAGTGACTGTCATCAGGTTTCCTTTTTGACAGCTATAGAGTGGTGCCGTCAGCACTTAGAGACAAAACCACGATGAGAGGAAGTCATATTTTTAGCAGAATTTAAACATCTAAAAATTCAGGGTGGAAGTTCATTTTTAGTCCAGTTCAAATGGAAGATAAGAATGTGCTGTACTAAAATGTGGGACACAACTATACAAGTGTGTCCTAAACTGTGTCCAAGCCTCAGACTCAGGCAAAGCAGACATATGGCTGTGGAGCTGAGCCACACTGCAGGCAAAAAACAGTGAGCAGCTGGTGGAGCATGGCAGGGTTTAGAAGATGAATCAAGAGCTTTTAAGCTGAGCTCATGGAGATTGATACATTATATTCTTAAAGTGATATTCCACCCAAACATATATCTTTTCAGTATTAAACTCTAACTGTAAAGCTTGAAAGGTGGCAGTAAAATGTTTCATCCTTCATGTATGTCATATGTCATAATGAATAAATTAATTTCCATACTTTCATGGTTTGTGTTAATTGGAATATCACAATGCTAAAAAAATATATACAAAGAAGAGGATGTTGTATGCTCTTGGCACCAGCACCAGTATAAGTGACAAGGAGTTTGCAGCAACATCGCTCACATGAGCTCAAGTCTCCACTCAATTTTGCCAGCTTGCTGGGTTACTGTATGTATACCCAGGGTTAAAGTCATTAGATCTTTATGTTTTCCTTGGATTACAGCTAAATTATGCCACAGAATAATTACCACAACATAAAAAAACCTCTTCAAAACAAGAACATTGGTTAATTTCTTGGATAATGCAAAGCACACTGTCCGCTAGGAGAGACACTGTGTACTTCTCTCAGCATGAAAACAATTAATTTAGTCCACCAACAAATTTCATGAATAAACATAAAGTCATCTGTGATTCTATTATAACACTTCTAGATATAGTCTGAGGAATCTTAATAAGAAGAAAAAAATACTGTACCTAAAGAGAGTAGCATCATAAAAATAAATAATAAATTTCTTATTTTATTTTTAAAGAAGATTATGACACATCTGCAAAAAAATCTAGTTCATCTTTTACCTTAATTCATCTTCATTTAACTGGCTCTAAAGGCTTAAAATACTAATCCATCTACATTGTTAAAAAATGCAGCCCATAAAAATAAACCCTTTTTTTTTGTTGTATTTACTGACCTGTGTTTAGGTTCTCAACGACACGAGTCAACGACAGTCGGCAGCCACACATCACAATAAACAAACTTGAAATTGAACTGCCCCACCACTGTAAATGCAGGTGAAGTAATGGTTTAGGTGCTAGTCAGATGGGTCTATATACGACCAAAGCAAACCATCATATGCAGAACCACCTATCAGTTCACCTATGCACCCCGTCAGTGAAAGATTTATCCAGGAATGGTTCATGATGCAAGGGCGGTACGGTGGTGCGGTGGTTAGCACTGTAAGAAGGTCGTGGGTTCAGACCCCGGTTGCCCTTTCTGTGTGGAGTTTGCATGTTCTTCCCGTCTGCATTCCATCCAAAGATGGTGGGAGAGAACATGCAGGCTAGGTTGATTGGTTACCCTAAATTGTCCTTAGGTGTGAGTGTGAGTGGTTGTTTGTCTATGTGTGGCCCTGCGATGGACTGGTGACCTGTCCAGGGTGTACCCTGCCTTTGCGCCCGATGTCAGCTAGGATTGGCTCCAGCCCCCCGCGACCCTGTACGCAGGATATGCTGTTGACGATGGATGGATGGTTCATGATGCATTCAGGTGAAATGGCAGGAACTACCTGACCAATAAAGTCACTGGTATTAAATCACTTGAAAATCAGCCTAAACAACCTTGGGCAGTTACCCTGAAGAGCACTGATGCCTACAGAGTGCAGTTTTAACACTATGGCTGGGATGATATACTTATCTCCTGATTCAATACAATCACGGGTTGCAGATTCAATATGTACTGCGATTCTTATTCTTCTGTTGCAATTTGATATTATGATTTATTGTGATTTTTGTTTGCTTTTTTAACACTAGACCATGGGAAAAGGATGAATCATTCACTTGTAGGTTCTGCTTATCATGAGTCATGTCTCCAAAAACAATGCACATCACATGTCTGTCAGTCTTCATGAGTTTTCAGGAGCATCATTGCTATACTGCATATAAAAGAAAAGAAATTATTTTTGAAGTACACATCCGCTACATTTAGCTGTAACTGTTCATTAAGCTAGTGCCATAAGAAAATACAAGACATAAAGACATAAAATAAGTTGTTAGGCCAAAATGATTAGGGCTCCAGGAAACTGAACACAACAAAAATGCAAGCTTATAAATGTACATCCTTCACATATGAAATGGAAAACTGTCCTTCCTCCAGTGTGTTAGCATCAAGCTAACAGGACTAAGCACTAGTTATATATATATGTATAAAATCTAATCAAAAACTCAAGTGTTAAAAGTGACAGTTTCTGGTTAAAGTAAAATGATATTACTAAGTAAGAAGAAGATGAAGATGTAAGACGGATTGTAAGGCAGTGCTGTCAATTTTGGGCAAAATGGGCTTCTTAGAACCTGCATGAACATGTTTTTTTTACGTTCAGTATCTTTTATGAATTGAATGCAAGGACGCTGTCGGAAATGATCTTAAGTACTGTGTCTAAGAACATTTTTATAAATGAGGCCCCTGGTCTTACTGCTGACCATCATAATGAATTTTTGGTATACTGCAATAGATCCATTAATAGAATTTGAAACTTGTAAAAGCACTGCTCCTACAGTGCATATACACATATTTAGGTCACTGCAGAGATGGCTCATCTGAGAGCTCAAGCTGAATAACAGCCATGAGAATTGTGGTAACAAAGATTGAGAGAGAAAACTGGAGGAGGGTGAAAGACAGAAAGGGAGCGATACTAAAGGAGAGAAGAGAAGGTGAAATGAGAAAGTGAAGAAAAAGACTGACAGGGTATAATGATAGTGAGATACAAATGTCAGTTATGAGGGAATGAGAGAATAAGTGAGGTAGAAAAATGATGGCGAGAAAGCAGTGGGGCTCTGATGTCCCTCAGCCTTGGCTATACCTGTGCTGCTGTGTTCCTTTCATGCATCATCCTGAGAGCAGCATGTCGGCTCCGGCCCCCTGGGAGATTAATTAGCCGCCTCGGCTAGCGGAATAACTGCTGAGATAGGCACCCAACTCAACTCAGAAGATAAATTACCCTGGCTGAAAGCTCAAAGTTCAGCTATTTTACCACATACAAAACAGTCTGTCTGTGGACTTTGGAGGTCCAAAACTACATCGGTATCTGGTGTAGGTGAGAGAGGAGTGAGAAAGTGAGTGGGGCAGCCAATGGATTGTTCTCTCCGCTGTATACATTTGGCTATCTAGGAATAGTGAGTTAGGTGGCAACCATACTCCTTTTAACTCTTAGTAAAGTTTTAAATTTATCAACAAACACAGAGGATGGGGTCATATTACCTGTCAGAAGGATATTTAGATTTTTAAGGAATGAAACAGCTGCAAAACATAATGTATGTATGTATCCATCATAAACAGTTGCCTAGCAGTGTGAGACGTAAAGTGGTTTATCTACACTTCCACAAATCAAATCTCTCTTCTCTTGGAAGCAAAATACAGTTATGCTTAGTCTTGAAGAAATATTTATTAAGTGAGTGAAATGTCACATTTAATCCTTTTCTAACAGGTACATTTCCAACAGAGAGGGTGTCACATCTGGTCCAAATAGTGTGCTTCTTTCAGGGTCAGGTAGAGAAAAGTAGGACGAAGAATCAAACTAGAATACTCAAGGCTCCACATGGGGGAACTGGAAATTAGACGTTACAGGCAATGTATTATAGAACATACCTACTGATTCCATCTTTTTCTTATTTCTATATCACTATGAGCTGTTTTTGCCTATTAAGGCCCAATTTCCTGTATTTCTTGCACTGTTCACCTCCTCAGCCTTAATAGTCAGAGCTGGTGTCATTATGACTTTTAACAGAGGCCATTATGAGATAAAAATACTGAAATGGATGATCATCTAGAAGGCTATTAGCTGTGTTGTAAAAATGGTAGAAATAAATCTGCAATGTTGTGAAAGAGAGCTTGCCCTCCTATTCTGCTTCCATCCTGAAATGTATAATGCAAAAAGAGACAAGAAATGCTTCGTAAGACTGAAAGAGCTGTCTTTCACATATGCACATTGGACAAAATACAAAGAGAATCAGTATTGTTGTGACAAAGGGAAATCAAATAATCATGAATAATTCACATATAGGAATGTAGTGCTCCATGCAGTGCAAGCAGGAGACTCACTTTAAGTTTGGCTGAATGATTACTCAACTACAGACCGACCAATTTTATCGGCTGATATGAGGTAATTGCATTTAAATCGGTATTGGCATATTTAATGAAGATTAAACGGAGAGAGATCCTTCACTCATGTTATGAGTGTTGCATAGTTTGCTCACCTGAGTGCACTCTGCAACTCCCCTGCTGATAACACCGCAGCACCACAAAACAAAACAATCAGCTGACCAGAGTCTACCCAAACAACGGAGTATAGCTGCTTCTCAAGTCTCTTATTTGTCATTTCCTCGCTCCTCGCAATGAACCGGAAGTTGTTCCGCTCCACCATCTTGCAGGCTGTCCCAAAGCTCTTATTTGCACTCCGAGGATCGAGGAGCGAAGAGCGAGGATCGAGGAGTGATGTCTGAGGAGCTATGAGCGAGAATACACCAGTGCATCCTTCGCGGAAGTCTTTTAATGACCGTTATATTGATTGGACGCTGCAGCTGATCGGACTGATCTGATACATCAGGACAGATAACATTAAACTAAACTAAAAAGTGTATCGCTGCAAAGTCTTAGATTTGAGTTGTTTTATGATTCAATGTCTAGTTAAAATCTGTGTTCATTGTAGGTCTGAACAACAAAGCCACCCACACAACTTTATTTATTTTATTTATTAGAAAAATCTTTTTTTTTTATTTCTCCCATCAACTTTTATTATGGAGACAATTAAAGTCAGAGAGAGTCAGAGAGTCTGTCTGCAAGAAAAATGTTTTACATAATTTCTATTCATGTGTTTAGTCCAAATAGACAACAATAAAACATAGTAAACACCTTAGGAGTCGGACAAGTCACTAAACTGCAGTTAGTATCTAATGAAGCAGCAAAGCATCTGATGAAAGCAGCTGGCGGCTCCGCAAGTAAAATCAGTTGATGAAAGTGAATGAAAGCACAGCTGCGCAAAAAACAAACAAACGTCAGGTTGATATGATGGAACGCAGTGATTGATTGATGACGAATGAGGTGACATGCACATAAAATGTATATCGTAGTGTTAAAGGATATCAGTAGAGGAAATAAACGGAAAGCCAAAAACTGAGCATCACCTTTGATACAAGTTACATCATTTCAATTTCCCTTAAACGTTTAGGCTAATAAATCCCAAGACACCATGATCATATTCTTGGTTATTCAATAACGAATTTACATTCATTTAAATGCAGATAATATAAGCATTGTGCCAGTAGAAATGATCCTGTGCCTTTGAGCAGGACATATGAGAAACCATTCATTTTTCATGTGCAGGTGTTTATTAAACAGGTAACAGAGAATCATGCTGCTCTGCACTGATAACTGTGAGACTTTATTAGTAACAGTGCACATGTATGTAGACACAAACTCCATCAAGTCTCTACAGCTGTTAGAGTTGAGTGACAGCTCAACGTGTGATCAGCTGCCGCAGTTATCAGAAACAGACGTTGCTTTACATGATGCTTCGGAGGAACGGACATCACATGTCTCTAAAAACATAATTCCTCGTTTCTTCTCTCCTGGCTTGGAAAAGACGCAAGTGAGGGAAACGTGGATGCAATT